TCCTGGCTGTGGTGTGACTTGAGCTCTTCCGCGTCTGCTGACATGTCCCTGTCCCATCCTGAGGGTGAAAACTGTACGCAGTCGGCTTCAGAGCCCTCAGCTGTCAGATGCACTCCCTAAAGCCTTCTGGATGGTCACATGCTCTTTAGGAACGTGGCGTTCTGTAGTGCAAATAGCGTGGGTTTGGAGGCAGACACACACAGGTTAATTTTTTACCCAGTTGCTTAGCAGACCCTGGAAAATGCGCTTGATGGGCTTTTAATCCCATCATGTTTAAAATTCTATCATTTTTTAATTGAGATACTTGCAGGTTGCTGGGGATGTAAAATACGTACCCCACAAACTAGACACACATTCCCTTCTTGTGATTTCTCCGCTGACCATCACATCAAGTTTTAAAACCCCCTTTCCTGCTCACGTTTTTTGTTTGTTTATTTGTTTTTGTCTTTTTCCTTTTTATCAGTACCAGGGATCGAACTCACAACCGTCTGCTTGCAAGGCAGGCGCTTATGCCGCTGAGCTAAATCCCAGCCCCTCCTGCTCACGTTTGTTCATTTATTTGGTTACTTGCTGAACTCCCGCTGCATGACTTCAGCACCGGAAAGTGGTGAGCAAGCCTGTCACAGCTCCCGCCAGTCACGCTTCTTCTCTCAGCTCTGCTGTTCAGCCGGTGACACCAGTTCCTGAAATGTTTGCCTCAGTTCCTTCCCCCGGCTCAGAAAAGGAAGCACCCAGAGGTGACTCGCCCTGAGGTGTAGATGCTATCCATTGTACCTCATGCGTGGTCTTTTCTCCCAGAGCGTGCTGCGTTGAGTTTATGTACATAGGGTTCAGGGGCTCCTCTCGGCGCGCGGTTCCAGGAGCACTGGACCCTCATGGAGAGTCGGGGGGGGGGGGGGAATTCCGTGTGATGCACAGCATGGCTCGAGTGCCTTGGGTTTTAGGAATCTCGTGGAGGGGTTTTAATTGACAGTGACTGGAAGAGGACAGTGGGATCAGTGTGGAGAGGACAAACGTGGGTCACTTCACTCAGTCCTCACGGTGGTCTCTCCAGATAATAGGTCCCTGATGACTGCGTCACTTTCAGATACAAATCAAGGCAATGTTGAGTTTTGTTTAGAACTTTACTGAGTCTTGCTGAACATTTCAAGAAATCACATCATCAGAGACACCACTACTCATGTTTGAGTTACCAGAAACACAGTTGGACTAATTTGTATAGCTGTGGAGTTAAAAATTATTCCATAACATCAGACTATCCTATAACTTGGATTTTCCTGTGATAGAAGCACATGTATTGCTTTATGATTCTCTACTTTCTCCCATATGTTAGTTAGAAAATTATATTCATGCCTTAAAGCTGTACATATGAGTATATTTTATCTCTAAATCTTATTTTAAGATTTTAAGAAAATAATGCAAAGTATTTGTTATAAAAATTAACTTTGTGATATGCTGTAGGATAGGTTCAGTGCCTTAAATTAATTACAAACCAGAAAAAAAGGAGCATAATCAAAGTTTTTCAAACCTTAGAGACACAAATTATTTAGCCTTTAAATCTCTAATAAACCATGGCAGAATTTCATTTATGACTTTGAATCTTCTTTATGACTATATATAATACCTAGAACTGATTTTGTTCCTAATTTAACTTTGTTGTTATTTCATATGGAAAATAGAAGATAATCTTGTGGGCTTTACTGATGCTAGTTGATAGTGTTTAATAAACTCTCCAGGGTCAGTGGTGGATTGTTTTGGGTTAGATCATCTAAGACCAGTTGTCATTGCTGAACATATTTTAGAAACTAACGTGCAGACCAGTGGACTTTATTCTCGTATGATATTAATTCACAGTGCTTTGCTGTCAGCAGCGGTGGGATTATGTTGTGTCGTGGCCTTGCCTTTTTTTAGACTATTTTATAGACAGAACTAGAAGAACGAGTTATATAAAGCTGTTCTAGCACAGACCGGAAAGTAGGTCATTGTGATGGGAGTATACTACACCGCCCAGTGGTTGCTATAGCAACGACCTACTTAAGAAACTATTTCTGTTGATTCATGTTGAAATCATCTTTTGTAGGTGGTACGGGAACCCTTATTGCATGCAGTTGGTTTTATAATAGAAATAAGCAGTGATTTCTGGAGGAAAAAATATGTTTTTAGTGTTTAAAGAAAGACATTTTCTCCCTAACACCTCTTCAGTTTATTTTAAAGTGATGTGTATTCAGGGTTGTAATCAAGTAACATGAGAACCGTGACAGTGCATGCAATGCAATTATTTGAAGGATTTTAATAAGCTGTACTACTGTTTGGCCTATTGAAAACCAATCTGAGGCAGATAGTAACATTGTTAGCTGAGTCTTCAAAGGGTGTAGTTCGAGAAAACAGTATATATTACATGCCAAACGGGAGGTGTGAAAAATGTGTCTCACTAAAATTATTCCCTGTATATTTTAATGGAATATGAAAATCATTCATTTCATTCAGAACTGAGTGCCTCTTTCCTGGCATGTGCCACGTGTAAAGGTTGAAAAGTGGTGCGTTTGCTGGAGCACGCTGAATCTGAATACAGAGAGACCTTCCTCTTTTCTTAGCTGAGAGCCAAAGGTGGGTTAACTTTTGCACAGTTTTCAAGTAACAGTTTTCACTTAGCACTGAAAAGAAACTGCGCCTGTCCTTGGGTTGATCCTCCCACCCAAGGTGTTGGAGGCCTGGTCGGCTTTCGGAGGAAGGGTTCTAGGGAGGGGGTGATTCGGAGTCTGGATTGCACTGTACCATTCTGTAGACCTGCTTCCATGTCAGCGTTGGCCTGTAACTGGTTCAGAGTCGCCGTCAGGTACAGCTGTGTGTTCACGTGATTCTGTCCGGTGCAGGAAGCCAGCTGCCTGCTTTCTGTATCAGCCTGCTCATTTACTCACAGAAATAGACAGGTCTTTGCAAAAGTAGAATGTTCTTATGGGAAAACATAGCAACTTCCATTTAATCAATGTCTTCCAGGTGCTGGGGAGTCTTCTAAATGATTTTGAGCTGTTTATAATCCTTTCAACAGTCGTATAAAACAAACTCACTGGGTCATTTTATCCTATTTCTGATCTTTTCCACAAGGTATAAAAGGCATATGATAAGATTTGTTTGCCAAGTACAGAAGCCAAGGCAGGTTTTAAAAAATTGTGTACCCTAGGGTACAGATGTGTATGAGGTGCAGCTTGACAGTGTCTCATGGCTGAGGTAGGCTGCACGCTCTGACATTCCAGAGGGCAGACGTTCAGCTGGAAAACAGAAGGTATAGCAAAGTAAGAAGAGGTGGGGATCAGCAGAGGGTTCCAGGCCCAGGAAAAAGCAGAGCAAATTCCAGAAAACTGAATTTTAGGAAAAAGAAATACTTCTGCGTGATGGGAGGAATAGGGGCTTGGAACCGTAGGTTAGTGGGCAAGAAAGCAGTTAGTTCTTTATTACATGAGGAATGAGGTTTAGAAGACCTTTGTACAGGAAGGCCGCCCCGCCTCGGGAAGGCGTGGCGTCGTGTGTGATGGCAGGCAGGTCTGTGTGGGGCGCCGCAGTAAACAGTGTGAGCACGCGATAAGAACCAGCGTTAGTGTAGCCAGAATAGAAACGGGTGGGAGGGGGTAGGAGATAGCGAGTGACACTTACATAACCTGCCTGCGGGACAGACGCGGCTGGGCGCTCCGTGTGCTAATTATTCGGCTCTCCCGAACACTGCCGGGAGAGGGAACCTGCTACTGTGCCAGTGTCACAGATGAGGAAATTAAAGAACACTTTTCAGGATTAACTGAAACCCATGCTTGTTGTCAGACCTGTTAAATTCTGAAATGCCTCCACAGTGGAGTACTGTGAGCTGGAAATTTACACTATGGGAAAGATGCTCGGCGTACGTTAGCCCGGGTTTACAGCAGAGACTGTGTGCCTCACTTGGCTCTCCTCGGCAGGGATATGTGCTGGTTACAAATGTCAAAGTTTTTTAAAGTATGTAAAAGTTTATTTTTCGCCCCCTCCTCAATGATAGATATCATTAACAGCTTGGTACATATCCTGGTTATTTTCTTGTGCATGTATAAGCATAAACAGCTGCAAAGGACAGTGTCACAGTGTTTTCCTTACTGATACTTTCTACTTAAAGTGTTTGAATACGAAGTATAGTAAGTGCCTATATGTGAGTCTACTGTACTCTGCAATTTTGTGTGGAATCAGAGATACAAAAGGTATCTGTGAAATAAAAAAGTGGAAAAAGATCAGTGATGTCTGGAGGAAACACACCGTATTGAAATGTGGCTACTAGTCACTGTTTCTCAAGGTGACAAAAATAATTGCCAGCCTACAGAACGTCATGGGGACACATTACTCAGTCCGTATGTCCCTGAGACGTTTGTTGGTTAATGGAGTGAAAATTTACTGAAAGCATTAAGAATGTTACTCAGCTTGTGAATGAGAAAGGGAAGGTAAAGGGTCAGCTGTGAATGCACACTAGCTTGTTCATTTTAAGATTTAATTACATCCTTTTGCTATTTTTCTTTTCCCATCTTACCCCGTGCACCACACAGAAACTTTTCCCAAAAGACTGATGTGAAGAACTCTTGCTGCCTGCTGCCGGTCTGGTACAGAAGGGAAAACTGTGGTGCTCCAAAAATTCGGTTTACCTTTGTCTGGGTTTGCTCAAGGGTTTGCTTCTGTACTGTTTCAATTTTAAGCAAATATAAAATTCTAGCTCATCCAGCTTGTTAATTTTTGATCTGTCTAAAAACTCTAAAAGCAAATATATCAAATTAGATGCTTCTCGACAAACGTCCGCAGACGTGCCACGTTATCCGCAGTTGTGGATCGTTGTGTGACAGCAGCATCTGACAGCTGTCTGCTCCGCAGCATTCGTACACTTCCGTATCGGGAAAGGGTACAAGATCGGGTTGGCATCTCAGATTATAGAATAACCCGATGTTGCAACACTTGGTATCTTTTTAAGAATTTTAATATCTCCTCCACCCTAGGTTTCTGCTTCAGTGTCTTGAGGATCTGGACGCCAATCTACGCAAGCTAAATTCTCGCCTGTTTGTGATTCGCGGACAGCCAGCAGATGTGTTTCCCCGGCTTTTCAAGGTAATTGGAAGGAATAAGCTTTGTCCGAGAAGGTGCTGTGTTCAGTGAACAGACTGCGGTCACCTCGCAGGAGCAAGCTGCTGCGGGTTTCCTTCAGGCGTGAGCAGGTGTTCCTAGGTGTGCACTGCAGCCCGCGGGCCGTCCGCACACCATGTGTCAGCGTGCTCCGTGTTGCTTCCTCGGTGTTCGGTGGCTCCGGGGCCTTCTGTGGGCAGATGCAGCACAGGGTCCTTGCCTCATTCTGCCGAACGCTTTTCCGCACCGCGCCTCTGCGGGTGCAGGTGACCCGGGGAGCCGCGGGCCGGCCTGTTCTCGTCCTTCTCCGCGTGCCGGGGAATTCGTGGGATGGTTCCCAGGAGAGGCCTGGCCCAGGGTGAAGGGTCAGGACGGCGGGCGCTGGCCAGCAGTACAAAGTCGTAGCGTGACAGTTACGTTTTTAACCTGAGAGAATCTTGATCTCTTGGTCGTCTCTACCAACAACGTTTCTCCAGATGAAAAGAAGTTAGACCTTGACGACTAAATTAATTCATCAGTTGCTCAAGTTTGTGCTGCTAGCTCGGAAAGTGCTCAGCCCAGAAATGCACTTCCCTGGCCCTCCTCTTACGTTCCCTTCCTGTTGCTCCCATTAGAATGTCTAGACGTGCATCTCCTCCTTCTCCTTGCAGGAGTTTGACTCTCATTGTTAGGACAGGAGGGCTCCCTTTCTAGACGGGAGGAGAACCGCCCTTCCCTGCATGGCGTCTGCAGTGCAGGAAACAGGTGGTGCCGGCCGTTCTCTTGGGTCAGTCCACAGGAGCGCGGAGGGCGGGGCACGGCCGATGGGCAGCGCGGTGACGGCGAGGTGCCTCGCTCTCTGGGGACTCCTGACAGGCACGGCTGGGTCTGGGTGTGTGGGGAGGTCCAAGGAGAAGGCATCTGAGAGTGCGCATGCGTACATGGCTGCTTCAGCCTCGTCTCTGAATCCGATTGGTAAAACTAAAATGAATTCTGGGATTTTATTTACAGTAACATATCAAACATTTTATTTACCTGTTTTTGAACAAACCTCTTCTGAGCCAGCTTGTGTTTTGTATTTTTCATTTTAAAATTTTTCTAACCAAAACAGCACCATTGGCTCAAACTGCCTGGTGCACTTAGATGTGTCTTGGCCTGGCAGTTAGGCAGAGGGGTTGGATTTAGCACGGGCTGTAAAGCACAGACACGTGAATACACACGCATGTACACTTCCTACTCTAGAGAAAATGCCACTTTGGAAGAGTTGCTTTCAGATTTATTTATGATGTACAAAGCCATAGAGAGAATAAATTTCCTTCTTATAGAATTAATGTTTGTATTTTGTTTAGAGGCGCTAACCACACGTGTTTAGACGTCTGCGAGGGTGCACAGGAGGTGCACGGGTCCGAGCTCGCCGCCGGGCGCCTGCTCTGGCTCTCCGGTCTGCGCCCAGGGGGCAGTCAGCAGCTGGCAGTCGCCGTGGGCGTGGTCTGCGTGGCTGGGACAGCGGCCGGGTGGCCCTGTGTGTCCGCTCGCCGCATTCCGAGTCTGGGGAAGCACGAGTGTGCACGCGGGAGCGAACACGCTCGGGATTTCTTACCAGGTTTTCCCTGATGAAGTCCTGACTTAATACAGGTGACAAGACGGCCTTTTCCCTTAACATCCTTCTGTGCTCTCCTGGAGACATGGTGACGCTGAGGAGCCACGCACCGGGTACACGTGAACGGCACAGTAATTACTGGTTTGTTCGGAAGTCACCGGAACAGTTAAATCCAGCGTCTTCCACAGTTTGGTGCCAGACGATAGACTGCCAGGATCATGTCCATCCCAGGGCTGCAGAAACTTTTAAAAATGAGCTTGTTTTAGATAACAAGTACATGATGAGTGAAGACTTCTCATTCTGTCCCAGAAACGGGCTTGTGCCTGCAATCGTTAGACAGCAAAACATGATAATTTTTTTTTTTTTTTTTTTGGTACGGGGTCCAAACTCAGGACTGCACGCTTGCAAGGCAGGCAGGCACTTATGCCAGTGAGCTAAATCTCCAGCCCGATAAAATAGTTTATTAAAAACTGAGTAATAAAAGAACTACAGGCCGGTGTCACTTCACCATTACATTGATGCCGTGCTTGTGGAGTAACTCGAACCCGCTTCAGTACCGCGGCACACGCACGGCAGGATTCATGCAGCGGGCAGTGACCACCTCCTGCCCTGCACAAGGCAGCGTCTGAGGGCCAGGAGAGAGGACACTGAGTGGACAGGAAGGCGCCTGCCTTTGGGGAATTGGCACGGTAGTGGGAGGAGGTAGATCAGAAACCAGTAGGGGAAGGCGGGCGGCCAGGCTGCCCTGGTGCTGCTGCCACGCCTTGGAGCAGGGTGACTGCGCCGTAGCTCTCAGGAGGCCTCCCTGGCCGCGGTTGCCACAGCAAACAAGCAGGGGCAGGGCACGGCCTGGCCAGTCCACTGTGGCAGGCGTGGCCATGTGCAGAGTCCACAGTCCTGTGTTGCTCGGCCTCCCAAAGGTGGTTTCTTCCCCACCCGTGGAATCTGACTTGTCTCTGTAAACGCATTTTAAACAAGTGTCAAAGAAGACTGCCCCTTCCACATGGTGGGCCTCCCTCGGGGAAGCTCAGGACTGCTGCTCTGCGTGGGAGAGAGAGGAAGTGTGACGCCGGTGAGCGGAGAAGCGGCGTGGACCGGAGTGGCAGTCAGCGTGTGTCGGCGGAGCACTGAAGCCAGGAGCTGCTCGCACCGGCCGCAGGGAGCAGGAGAAAGACCGCACCCAGCTAACTGCGGAACCCGCACTTAGCAGAAGCCACTGCAGAGGAGAAGCAGCCTAGCGCTCAGCGCCTGCACTTACTCTGTGGGCGGAGAGTCACTGCCGGGCGCGGTCTGTGAGTCTCTAGTGGTAGAGGCGCACATCAGTTTTGTTTCTGAGTCAGAGTAGCTTTAGAATTTTTAAAACCTGGTATGTGCTTGAGAAATTCACTTACTTCTTTTACGCCTTGGTCTCCTTTAAAGTCACACGTACAGATCTTTATTAATATTCCCCTGACATTCAGTAAGTAACCGTTATCATTACATCTCCAGACTTTGCACAGGTCACGTCTTTTTATCAGAAAGAAGATACACACAGTAGGTACCTCGGCAAAGCAGGCGATGCTGTGTCCACTGTCGAGGTGTGTTAGAGCGCGCCTCAGGGTCAGCAGGCGACTTGCAGGGTCTGCGGCCCGCTGACCTCAAGCACATCCCTCCTCCTTTAAAAACCATCTTACGTGCAGGTGAGGAGAGCAACCGAAGAGCCAAGGGCTGTCTGCGTGGTATTTTGAGGACAGGATGGGATGATATACTTACAAGGAATGTGACAAGATACAGTGCTACACAACCACATTTAGCTAAGAGCTAGTTTTAAGCATATTTCTTACTTTTTTATTTTAAAAATGAAAATAAAAATGATTATATGAAATATCAAAACAAAATAAAAGGAGATTAACACTGGTTAATATATTGCATTTTGTCATCTTCAAAGTAGTTCAGACTATAAGATATAGGCATTAAAATGATTAAACAATAGAAGGATGAAAGCACAAACTGTTCTTTTTGGTGAACTAACAGAGGTTAGTGGTATAGTTATCCATCCTGGGTGTGGGTGTGGGTGTGTGTGTGTGTACGTGTGTGTGCATAATCTCTTCCCTTCCTCCTCCCCCCATTCCAGTTGTTCTTTCTTTTTGAGCATTCTCTTCCCTTTCACTCTCACAATATCTGTTGTACATTTTATATCTTACTTATTCTTTTAGTTTTTACACTAGGGAGACAACATGATATTTACACATGCAAGTCTGATTTATTTCATTTATGAGCATGGTCTTGAGTTGTATCCATTTACCTATAAAAGTCTCAAGTTTATCCTTCTTTATAGTTGAGTAGCACTCCATTGTTTAAAAAGACCACATCTTTTTTATCCATTCTGTGATTGATGGGCATTTGTATTGTTTCCAAGATTTATCTATTACAAATTGTGCCGCTATAAACACGGGTGCACATGTATCACTCTGGTATGGTGTTTTGAATTCTTTCAGGAAGATACTCAAAAGAGGAATAACTGGGTCAAATGGGGCCTCTGGTCCTAGTGTTGTGAGGAGTCTCCACACTGATTTCCACAGTGGCTGCCCCAGACTGCACTCCCACCCACAGTGGAGAAGGGTTCCTTCTGGAGGGTCTTTGAATTTGGGGGGCTGATATGTTTCAAGTCTTTATGTAGTCTAGATGGAAGTCCTTTGGCTGAGGGACAGGTGGCTAACATTGTTTTCCCATTCTGTGGGTTTGCTTTTCACTCTGTCAGTGATTTATTTTGAAGTGCAAATTTAAGCATATTTCTTGATTGGTTAGTACCTAGCTAAACACCTTAAATTTATGAGAATAAGTTTGTTTTTTACTTTTCTTTAATTGATACATTGTACTGTTTTCTTCCTGCATACTTGACGTTTAATATATAACCCTTTGATGAGTAGAGTTCAAGCTTTTTTCTAGATAACTTATTGTTGTCTAGAAAAACATATAGATATGATACCCACAGTTGGTCCCCTCTCTTGTTTTAGGAGTGGAATATTACTAAGCTGTCAATTGAGTATGACTCAGAGCCCTTTGGAAAGGAACGGGATGCGGCGATTAAGAAACTGGCCTCAGAAGCCGGCGTGGAAGTCATCGTGCGAATCTCGCACACATTGTATGACCTGGACAAGTAAGGGCTGCTTTTGGTCTTGTTTTGATTGGTTGTACTAGCCCTTCACACTAAGCTACATCCCCAGCCCATGTTTTAAATTGTTTTAAAAATGTTTTAAATGTTTATTTATTTAAATTTGTATTAGTCCATGTTTGCAGTGGGACTGGTCCATGAGCATGACACATGTCTTCTTGTTTTTCTCTCTCTCCCTTCCTTGTTTTTGGCCAGCATTCACTTTACTGTTTTATTTTGTGTCCAGGCTTCACTGAGTTTGTGAGTTTCCCAGGCTTGTGTAACAGGCTTGGACTGGATTACTTTTGGTGTAATTATCAGCCTACTTTAGTTTGTATCAGTGTAGATTCCTTGAGTTGTGTCTTAATGTGTTTTACATATTTATCTATATTAATTTCTTGCTGTCATCTTTAGGCTACTTTAAGCACTTTAGGCTACTTTAAGCTGTTTTCATCTCTAAGTCCTTAACCCTCTTTTTTAATGGCTCTAGGGTTGCATGCTGTCTGTTTTTGACACCTATCAGGAGTCTAGAAAATGAAGAGAATGATCTTAAACTTAGGAAGCATTGTGCATGTACTTTGTAGTCAGGTAGGCCCTGAGAAGCTACATTCCCAGGCTTAGGTGATAGGTTTTATTTTCTGACTTTGAGCCTTTTCGGGGCGTATCACCCAGAAGTGCCATCCTTCTCACTCACTGCAGTTTACTCTCACAGGATCATAGAGCTGAACGGTGGACAGCCGCCTCTGACTTACAAAAGATTTCAGACACTGATCAGCAAAATGGAGCCGCTGGAGATTCCAGTAGAGACGATCACTTCGGAAGTGGTAGAAAAGTGTGTGACTCCTTTGTCTGACGACCATGACGAGAAATACGGAGTCCCTTCCCTGGAGGAGCTCGGTAAGTGTAAGCAGCTGCACACGTGGCCCTCAGCAAGCTGCTCAGTCAGAAAATTCCACACCTGCTTGTGTCAATAAAGTAGTTTGCATTGAGAGAGAAAGAAAAGGGTAGCATAAAAAGAAAACAAGCTCATGAAGAGCTAACAAGCCCAGTCTGGGAACATGCCGGGCCGCCCTGGGCCGGGAACAGCCAACCCCAGTCTCTCCCAGTGAGCCAGCGCCATTCATGGGCAGAGGCACCCAGCAGCATGCCCAGTCTGGGAGCCAGCACCATGTGCGGGCCACCACTGGACTCCCCCACCGTAAGTGACCGGCTTATCAGGAGAAGCACTGGCTGTGGAGGTAGCCGTCGAGGTGAAATGCTGTTGGATGCCTGCGGTGCTCTGGTGTTCCACTAACACTGCAGGCCGAGGCCGTGCTCTGGTGTTCCACTAACACTGCAGGCCGAGGCCGTGCTCTGGTGTTCCACTAACACTGCAGGCCGAGGCCGTGCTTTGGTGTTCCACTAACACTGCAGGCCGAGGCCGTGCTCTGATGGGCTCAGAGGGTCGTGCTGCACAGCGTGGCATGTAGGCGGAATCTCCTGAGGCTTGCAGCCATTGTTGATTCCCTGTGGTCTTGTTGTTGAGGTCCTGCATCACTTCCATTGATTCATTGGGTTGGGGTTTATGCTCTTTTGTTTTGTTTGATTATGTTAAATCCGATGACAGGAGCAGCTGTTTCAAAGATAGCGATATATTATGGTAGCAATTTTGGATTTACTGTTACTGGCTTGTTTTGAAGTCCTTTATTGCATTCATTATTTTGTTTTTATTGTTTCTATTCTATTCTGTTCTGTTCTGTTTGATTTTTTACTGTGTCTGAAGTTATCTGCAGCCATTTTAAAGACATTAAAAGGCATTATGGTAACTATTGATTTTGTAATGTTTTGGAGTCCTGTACTGGTTTGTTTTGATTGGTTTTATTCTGTTTCATCCTCTTTAACAAAAAAAAAAAATCATAAAATAGTTGATAAATGTGTACATTATTTATGTATTGTATAAACATGTGGTTTATGATCTGTTGTTAAGATGTGCATACATCCTAAAGAGGAGAGACCGTGTCCTGTGCTCTGTAAGTGCGGGCCTGGCTGTCCAGGCCATCTATCCATTTTTACTGTTTTCATAATTTTTCAGCGAAGTAATTTGTCCTGATCATTGTGGTTAAATAAGAATTATATTTGTTTCAGAAGAATAATCTATCCCTTCTTTTCTTCCTTCCTTCCCTTCTCTCGTTCTTTCTCCCCTCCCTCGCACCCGCCCTCCATCCTTCCTCCCAGGTTTCGACACTGACGGCCTGCCCTCTGCAGTGTGGCCAGGAGGAGAAACTGAAGCCCTCACACGTTTGGAAAGGCATTTGGAGAGAAAAGTATGATAATACACTCGTGCTCATTTGTGTAAATTGGCAGTTTAAAGATAATTTCACTGTCTTTTAAAGGTTAAAAATAGGGACTGGGGATGTAGCTCAGTGGCATAGGTGCCTACCTGGCAAGTGTAAGGTCTGGAGTTGGATTCCCAGTACAGAAAAATTAAAATTAAAAAGTTAAAAGTAGACTTGAAAAAAGGAGAATTTGACAGTTGACAGCTAGCTGGCCTTTGAACGCCCTCTGTCCCTGCTTGGGTGTTTCTCCGGGCTGCGGCCGTCCTGCTCTTCTCGGCCATGTCTGAGTGAGGGCAGCGCTGAGACCTGTGGCCAGCCCTGCGCCCCAAGGCGCCATGTTTTCTGGGGTGGACGTCTTGTAATGAAGGTTGCTTGGTTAAGTGGAACAGGATAAGAGGTGACCGCAGCAGTCAGCCGTGCTGCAGCAGTGAGGGAGGAAACTCAAAGCTCATCGTTCTCCGTGTAATACTTTGGGCCACGATTGGCCCCGGGCAGCTGAAGCCTTGGAAGGCGAAACTGGACGGGGGGGGGGGGCTGTCACCTTCCTGTCACCTTCCCCTTGATGGTGACAAGGCCCAGGGGCGCCGTCAGCCTGGACTGGGAGACGGGTTCCTCACGTCGGTGTTCTTGAGGGTGACTCCAGGCAGAGAACGCTGACTGTTGAGTCTTCGTAAAACTGAACCATGAAGTCTGTGGCTGGGATGACAGGTGCTCCCTGAGAGCTGGCATCCCAGAACATGCCGTGTGGAGCGGAGCGCTGCCTCGGGTGGCAAACTCGACTCGTTCCCTGAACTCGTTCCCCAAACTCGATTCGTGCTTGAACCCTGAAGCTGTTCTTTCCCATGAGAAATAATGGGGCGGGGTTATAGCTCAGGGCACAGGAGCCTGCCTGCCTGCCTGAGCAGCACAGGGTCCTGAGTTCAGTTCCTGGCACCAGAAGAAATGATGGAAAATCAGTACGTGTTCTGAGGCCCAAAGTTACACTTACAAATTCATTTCTCTAGGACTTTAACAAATTTTGCAATGATTCCTTCTTTAATCCTTTCATGGTTCTTACAGGTTTCCTCTTAGCTTTACTGCTAGTGTCACAAATTTTCTTTGGATCCATGGTTGCAGGATTTTATGCAATAGTAAAGCACACACACACACAAATAACCAGCCCCAGTGTGATGTCTGGGTGAGCAGTCCAAGAGTGCCAGGAGCTGACCACGGCTCACTGCCCGCCATCCAGGATCTTTCAGGTTGAATTTTTGGGTTGAATGTTGAGCAAAGTTACAAACACTGAGCAAACTTTTTTTGAACTTTGCTATTTGAGTAGTAGAAAGTTCAAGCGTGGAGCCATTCGACAAGCAAGGTGTCACTGCCCTGTTCTTGTTACAAGAGAAAAAGTAATTGGTTCAGGCGGTTTCTCTGTTCCCAGGCGTGGGTGGCAAACTTTGAAAGACCTCGGATGAACGCTAACTCCCTGCTCGCCAGCCCAACCGGGCTCAGCCCGTACCTCCGGTTTGGCTGTCTGTCCTGTCGGCTGTTTTACTTCAAGCTAACAGATCTCTACAAAAAGGTATGACCTAAAACGGAGCTTGTTTCTCCAAATGCTCTTCCAAACATCGCTGGTAACCGTCCTTGCGTTTTAATCGTAGGTGAAGAAGAACAGTTCCCCTCCCCTTTCTCTGTATGGGCAACTGCTGTGGCGTGAATTTTTCTACACAGCAGCAACAAACAATCCTCGCTTTGATAAGATGGAAGGAAACCCCATCTGTGTGCAGATTCCTTGGGATAGGAATCCCGAGGCGCTGGCCAAGTGGGCCGAGGGCCGGACGGGCTTTCCGTGGATCGACGCCATCATGACCCAGCTCCGCCAGGAGGGCTGGATTCACCACCTGGCCAGGCACGCGGTCGCCTGCTTCCTGACGCGGGGGGACCTGTGGGTGAGCTGGGAAGAAGGGATGAAGGTAAGGGCTCCGGGGGCGGCGCGGGCGGCGCGGAAGGGATCCTCCTGAGTCTTGTGCTTTAGAACCTCAGACGTTGTCTGTTATGTGCGTTCATTCCCAGTCTGGCTGTTTAGTAATAAGCATGTGATCGCCACAATACAGGTGCAGTTTTATGAGCAGGTTGGTAAATTCAGTACCATTTTAGTGAAAACTGGTTAAAATAATTAACCTGTAGTCATTTCAGTGGTTAAATTCACCTAGCTGTGAAGAGAACTGTTAAGGCTTCGTATTCTGGTTTCCACATGTGTCACAAAGTAGAGCCATCCACGGTTCTTAGAGTTCACGTTACAAGTCTGTAGTTAAAGTGCTGCCCTCTCTTAGGCGTCACCCCTCCAGCAGTGCTTCCCTTACACACCTCCGGTCACGCTGCACGTGATGGCATCACCCGCGGTTCTGCTAGCGGGATTTACAGGGCCTCCCTTTCTGGCTGGATGGTAAATTTCCCTACCCAAGGGCCATTTCTGATCCTGGTGTGTTTTGTTTTATTTTGCTTTCTCTTTCATATTTCCTAGCCAGAGTTACACACAAAAATGATGTGTAGCACCTAATTCCTGAATTAGAAAGACCACTTAATCCTGTTTCCCTGCGAGGCCAATGCGTTTCTAGAGCGCACCTGTGGGTGGCGCTCCCTCTATCTGGCAGTGGGGGAGCGTCTGCGTTTCCTTGGCAGTTTTGGGTAGCACGTGGCTTTAAGTGGTCCACTGCTGTTTTCCACCTACTAGCGTCCCGTTGTCCATGAGTGCCCTTCTGCCCTCCCACACCGTGGCACGCGAAGGGCGGGAGGAATCCTGCTCAGGAAGCCACCCTAGCACCCATGCCTTTCCCCCTTGAAGCGCCCACTGTAGAGCTCACCACACACGGGGAGGCTTCAGGATGTTTGACCTGCAGGTCTGTGCTAGATTCCTCTGCCTGACTTGCCTGCAGCGACCTCAGAGTTGCTTGCTTTGAGAATTGTGTGTGTGCAAACTAATCGCTCACTGTCACTCCTGAAGGTGTTTGAAGAATTGCTGCTTGATGCGGACTGGAGCATCAATGCTGGGAGCTGGATGTGGCTGTCGTGCAGTTCCTTTTTCCAGCAGTTTTTCCACTGCTATTGCCCTGTTGGTTTCGGTAGGAGGACAGATCCCAATGGAGACTATATCAGGTAAATCAAAGGTCATCGTTACTGCGTTCGGAATAGCTAACCAGGAAGAGCTTTCATGTTTAAGCAAGGTTAAGGGTTCCCACTCGAGATGGGCGGCAGAGATGAGATGGGGAAACAGAGCTTTTAGTGGTGTTGATTTGACTTCGGTCGCTCATAGCTAGTGATCTGCTAAAATTCGCTCGTGGTGCATTTTATTGTTAACTTTTCTTCCTTTTACTAAAAGGCGTTATTTGCCTGTCCTGAGAGGCTTCCCTGCGAAATACATCTATGACCCCTGGAACGCACCAGAAGGCATCCAGAAAGTAGCCAAGTGTTTGATCGGGGTGAACTACCCCAAGCCCATGGTGCACCACGCCGAGGCCAGCCGCCTGAACATCGAGCGGATGAAGCAGATCTACCAGCAGCTGTCCCGGTACCGGGGGCTAGGTGAGCGGCGTCCACTGCTGCGGGGGCGGCTCTGTGGGCCTGCCGTGCACTGTGACGGAACGGGAAATCTGTCCCCTCTAGGTCTTCTTGCATCAGTGCCTTCCAATCCCAATGGCAATGGAGGCCTCTTGGGCTACGCTCCGGGAGAGAGTACGCCAGGCAGCGGCGGCGGAAGTAAGTGAAGGACTCTCCACAGCTGCTCGCTGGAGCAGTGCAGATTTGATCACTGTGTGTGCTGCCGAAGCGAGCCCGGCAGTTTGTTTTATTTTAGTTTTAGCGTAATTTTTCTGTTACGATCTATCTGTTCTTTGCCTTATTAGTGAAGGTTAGAAGCATTGTGAGGCAGCGCTTCACACCAGCTGGGTGACAGTGCCACTGACTGCCTGGCCTGATAGCTTTCTGAGACCTAGAGCTTTCCAGGCCGCCACCTGGAACGGCAAAGGCAGGCTGGGCTCGATCGGTCATTCTGTGCCCTCTGGAACAGCCAGCATGAGAGGGAACACCGGGTGTAGACACACATGAAGCCCGGAACCTTCCTGGGAGGAGATGTGACATGGTCCAGCTGCTTCGGAAGAACAGTGGCGGTTTCTAGAAAGCTTTGTGAATCTCTGTGCAACCCAGAAATTCCCTTCCTAAGTGTCTGCTCCAGAGAGGCGAAGACAGACGTCCATACACGGGCTCATGCGTGACCCCAGCTGCGCCTGTCCTGCTAGAATGTGAGGAGGCCCCACGGCCCAGTGCCATTGGTGACGGGCAGCAGGGTGCCTGGGGCTGCACACACGCGTGTGTGAGAGACGGTGTGGCCTGGCTTCAGCCACACGAAAAGCCCACACGTGCCTGGCCCAGTCTGTGAGCGGAGCGGCTCAGGGCACAGGGGAAGATGGGGAAGGATGCGGGCGGGTGTGGGCTTCTTTCTGCAGTGGGGGAGCGCGCTCCGGAACCGCAGCATGGTGATGTGCACGGAACTCTGCACATCGATGTTTAAACATCACTGTGGCGTGCGCTTGCAACAGCTGGGTTTTATAGCATGTGAATTACACCTCAGAAACTACTAAAAGCCAAACCAGTTCCCACCGCAGACAGCTCAGCAAACCAGTAAGGGAGAGCGGTAGCAGGTGTCAGCTAATGAGGGAAGTCCCTGAGAAAGCGCACTGACCACACCCACGGCCGGCACTCGCAGGCCGAGGCGGGGCGGAGGGCAGTTCAGGCCCAGCCTGCGCCTGGCCGCACGGGAGTGATGTCCTTGCACTGCTCTCCGTGTCTCTTGTGTAAGCTAGGTGAGGGTTCACTTCACACACCCCTGCTGCCGTTGGTGTTGGACCGTGGTGAGGGGAAATGACCGGGTAGACTTTCTGTTCTTACAGAACTGTTACTAAAAACCAGACACCGCGGGGGCAGGCGCTTGCTAGGGATGGAGCCCAGAGCCTGCACCACCTGGCAGGGTGTCGGGCAGGCTTGCCAGGCAGGCGCTCGATCGGCCGAGGGCTCCACCCCTGGGCCCTGGAAGTCTTCTCTGATGAACTGGTCAGCCGCTCATGTCATGAATGTGAAAAAAACCAAGTGTACATTGTGAGTCTTCCATTCAGGATGTGCTGTGTGGACTCCCGGAAAGATGTAAAGAAATGCCTGCCTCTGAGAAGGGCCGGCCGGCTGCCCCAGACAGGGCCCGGACGCCCTGCTGCATCCTGCACAGTACGGATGACCTGTGGGCTGCAGCACTGCCACACGCACAGCCCCCTCGCTAAGCTGCTGGATTTATCGCGGGGCTGTTACTCAGACAAAAGCAGAGCCAAAAGCAAAAACACAAAGCCAAGAAGTATGTTAAGGCAAAGTCGGCTGAAGTGCTTAGGCTGACCTGGACCTTGGGTCATTCTGCCTCAGCTCCTGAGTAGCCGAGATCACAGGTAACACCACCACACTCAAGAAAGGAAGTTGTTTCCACTCTGTGCGGTCCACTTCCCAGTCCCCCAGCGTTCACTTTCATTTGTTTTATTTTGAGGCAAGTTCTTGCTATGCAGTCCAGGCTGCCCTTGACTCACTGTTTGCCTGCGCTGGCCTGGAACCTGCAGCGATCCTCCTGCCTCAGCCTCCTCCAGGAAGGCTGGTGGCGCTGGTGCGTTTTCTGGGATTAGGAGGTCCAGGTGCCTGCCTGGTGTGTAGCTCTCTAAAGGAATAAAACGCTGTTTTAAGGAGACTTCCAGTATAGCTATGAAGCTTGATATTTTTCCTGTCCTTTGCGAAGGCAGTCCTTCTCCTGATTTTTAACACTAGTTAGGTCTGTTTTTAACTCTGTAGAACCGAGCCATCCAGTTCCTTGCTAGTGTACGTGCTGCTGCGGTGAGCCTGCCAGCCTGTCCCGCTTCCGAGGCTGTTGTGTGCTGGGGCTGTTCTCGTTTATCTCAGCACTGCAAGCAGCAATGGAGCCACCAGCTTGAGAGACTCAAACCTCAGGACCGCGTTTCTGACTTGTGCTGCGCCACCAGCAAGCTGACCTTTCCTTCCAGGGTCTCCCCCAGCGTCCCTGCCAGCCCTGACCCCCGCCTTTGTGGTTGGCCACTTTCCCGCCCTCTGCTGCTGGCCGAGGGCCCCTTGCAGCACGCCCACGTCTGGTCACTCCTGTCCCCAGTGCCTTTAGCCAGTGTGCGACAGGACAGTTGAAGGGGCGTCTGGTGGGCTTCTGTGGTGGTGCAGCACACGAACGTCAAGGTGCCATCTCAGTGCCCCAGGTCCGGTCGCTGGCATTGGCCTTGGCATAGTCATGGGAGCGAAGGGTCCCACTGCCACAGCACTGGTGGCACGCATCACCTCGGGGGCCAGCTGAGGTCAGGAGAGGGGGCACAGCGCCATGGGTCTCCGAGTCAGCCGTGGCCAGTGCCACTGTCTCGGGACGGTGGAGCTGACCGCTTTGTGACAGCGTGTGGACAGCTGCGAAGTGGAGTCAGCAGGGCCTCCTTCGGTGACCCGTGGTGGGCACCGTCCTGTGATGCAGGGCGCCTTGGTGCCGCAGGCTTCCAGGTCCGAAAGCTTGTGAAGCCTGAAAAGCGGCGTTCACTGCGGGAGTAAGAACAGGGGCGGCCGGGGTCCGGTGCCGCCCCAGGTGACTGTCCGGGCCCAGGCGCTCCCTGTCGGTCAGGCGGCCTGGGGGGGGGGGGTGGCGCCTCTGCAGCAGCCCTGCTCCCGGTGCAGGAAGGGGGCGGGGAGGGGTGGGGAGGGCGCCCCCGCTGGTGCTCAGCTGCGGCCCTGCTGGGGAAGTGGGTCCCCGGAACGTCCGACTAGCCTTTGAACTGTCAGCGTCTCCGCGGACGGAATGTAAGTTCCTGATCTGGGCAGGTGACTTCGGCTCAGGGAGAACTGAAGAAAAGCATACAAGTGAATGTAAACTCTAAGGGTGGGCCTTGCGGGCCGAACACACACATCTGAGGTCTGATCAGAGGCCCCTTCCCGCCCCGCTGCAGGTTGCGTCCCCGGGAGCAGCAGCGCGGGAGTCTCGCACTGTGCGCAGGGAGAAGCTCCGCAGGCGCCGCCAGGTAAGGCGAGGCCCGGGGCACGCTCCGCCCGCGCGCGGCCCCGGCTCAGCCTCCGTCTCCTGTGTGCAGGGCGCGACCCCGCGGGCCCTGGGCTGGGCGGTGGGAAGCGGCCCAGTCAGGAGGAGGACGCGCAGAGCACTGGTCACAAGATCCAGCGGCAGAGCCCCGACTGAGGTAAGGCGCCCGGGAGCTGCTCCGCGTGCGGCCGTGGAGGGCGCGTCACCCTCGCGGGTGACTTCAGAGGGTCCCCTGCTCGGCCTGCACCCCAGAGTCCCGAGGCATAAATCCTTAGTGATCACCACAGAGTCAGTTAATTGTGGGACCAGGAGGTGATCTGTATTGGGCAAAAGACAAAAATACATGCACACATACACATTTATTTTACCTGTGTGCTGCTTCTAAAACCTAAATTCTTTCCAGTTGAATTTTTCAAATGCTGGCTTTGGAAATACGGACAAGCCGCATTTAGCTGGGTTGGGTACTGTTTTGTGATTTGAATCACTGTAAAAAGTATTTCTGTGGTACATTTGCCAGTCTTTAAAACTTTTTCTTTGGTTATCTTAAACTGTTTACATTTTTTATGTTAATCTTTTTATGCCTGCCTAGTTAGAATATAAATCTCTGAAAGATCAGTAAATACTCATCGTGTTATCATTTAATTTTTTGCACTTACACTTTCTTTTCTTTTTCTCCCTAAATCAGAGAACATTTGGAAGGAATACTGTTGCAGCTGAAATTGACCAGAGATCAGTACATTTCAATTAAATTATTTAAAACTATTCTTCATCAATGGAAAACGGTTACATTTTTGAATGCATTATTTCTAATGACATTTCTTTGGTTTGTAACTTTTAATGAATTTCACATAGGACAAGTGGTAATTTGTATATAAAGAACTTGGTAAAAGAATTTGCTTAATGTAAATACAGTCACAATTAGTATAGACCCATCAATATATTTTTGATAATTTTTCATGTATGGTAAAAATTTAAGTTGCAAACTGATACTCTAAAACTCAAACGTTTTGAGAGTGAATGTGGGAAAATAGAGGAGGTTTTTAGACTTTCTTAAAATACTTTGTTAAGTTTTAGGACAAAATTTTCTCAACTACATTATCTGACCTAACTTTGGACTCTTTGATAACAATGTTTAGAACTACACATGATCAGCATTAGTAGGTGTCGCCTGTTGACACACTGTGCTCTCAACTCCGTGTGTGCCTCAGCTGTGGAAGGACTGTGCGCCGTCGTCTCCTGTCTCCGTTTCTGTTCATTTGTAGCTAAAGTGACTTTGTTATTAAAGAACATGCAAATACAGAATACTGTGTGCTGGGTGGTTGCCTTTTGTTTTTGGAAAGGGCAGAAGCGTTGCTGCTCAAGAAGTGGTCACTGTTCCAGGGACAGGTTACCCTGCTGAGTGAAGGAAGCCACCACGTGTCCACTAGGACAGCGGGGGCCCAGCCAGATGAGGGGCGTGGAGGACGAGCAGTCCCTCCGTGCGGCTACCCCGCCCTGCTCCTGTGCTGATGTGCACAGAACTGGCCAGGACTCTCCTTATCCCCTCAGCTGGCTCTCAGCCGGCAGCTCCCGCCGCCGCTCCATGCCGTCTGCTGGGATCCAGCCTCCAGAAAAGAGGCAGTGACTCCGGCATAAAACATTACACCTCAGAGCAGAAGCACCGACCCCACGACGTTAGCACTACCTTGAATTGTGCTATGCAGATGACTTTCTCCACACCTTCTCTGCTGCACACTGCAGAGGTGACCTCGGGCCTCCTACTCCCTGCTGCCCGAAGTTCCCCTCTTCAAAAATTAACAAAACTTGGGCTTGCCCTGGGCCGAGGCCTTTGTTTCAGTAACCATCATCCCAGCTGGACCTTTGTCTCCTCAAAACTCTAAACCTGCCTTAGCATCTGTTCTGGCCATGAGTTGCAGGGAAATGGTAGATTGGCATTAACTCACTAGAATTCTAGTAACTTCCACGGGGTTACAAACATAAACCTCCTGGACTGAAATGAGGACCAGGGCTCTCCAAGGCAGTATTTTTCAAGATTATCTGCAAGAAAGAGTGAAGCCAAAACGATCTTGTCTAACTAAGTTGGGCAGCATGGACAGCAGTTAAGAGTGTGGGCTTTGGGCCAGGGATGTAGCTCAGTGGCATAAGCACCTTCCAGGTCCTGAGTTCAATTTCAGGTACCAACAACAACAAAAGTGTGTGCTTCCGGGTCAGATGCCTGCCTCTGCTGCTGAGTAATGTGGAGGTCTTAAATACCACCTCGTCTTACTTTCTGCATGCTCAGACAAAACGCCTGGTGCACAAAGTCACTGGGGAAGGGTGCATTTTGGCTCACAGTGTGTGGAGGTTTCTGTCCGTAGCTGGCTAGTTCCAAGGCAGAGCGGCACAGCACAGGAGAGAGAGTCCGCGACAAAGCAGGGCAGGAAGAAGGGAAAGCAGCAGCAAGTGACAGCAGCCCTCGTTCTGTCCCTGATGTTCCACAGGTTACCACCCCCCCAGGGCCGCCCTTAGTGCCAGCATCTCCAGAACCCCACCTGTGGCTGTGGGGGGGACAGAAGACTGCTGGAGGCGCTGGGCCACCTCCCGCCTCAGCCCGCGCCAGCGCCTGGTGTGTCGGGCACCGAGTGACTGTCAGCTGCTGGGCTGCCCGCCGTGTGGCCCTGTGCCGTGCAGTGCACAGCCCTGTGGCTGTGGGCCACTGCCATCCGTGCCACTGTTGTTACCGCACCTCGGTTCTCTGCTGGGTGCTTAGCATTCTGAGTGGTGCCGTGTCAGTAGTATCATACACACATGAGAACTGTATTGAACGGTAACTGAAGATAGAAACAGCATTTTTAAGTGACTGCATTTTTTCATAACCGCATTGCACACCTTACTCTGTGGGCCTGCTTTAGTCTGTAACTGAGAAATTCATAGCCATGGCTTTATCAGTTACCGTTTATCATCACCATCGGAGAAGAGGTTAACCATGTAAGAGCAATTTAGTAAAAACACTCAGCGTAGGCACTGGTACGTCACATAGAAACGTGAGCTGATTTTGTTTTGCATTTCACGAAATTTTTTTCAAATGCTTTTTCCTTGTGGTCTGAGTTGTGGCCAGAATGAATCCCTGGAAGGGAAAGGGGTGTCAATCAGTGTACTTGAAACAGGATAATTCTGTTTTGTTTCCCAAGCATTCATTTGCAGTACATACTGATTACATTCACCGTGGGGAACTGGCACACGGTAAGTGGCTTTCTGAAGCATTTTCGGTCTGCTCATCTGCGCAGCAAGTTAGCTTTAAATTGTTACTACCCACAGCTGGGCAAATTCAGAACCAAGCTTTTCGAATGAACCAACTTAGAATCCTTGTTTTTCATTTGTGTTATTGAATCTGCTCTATAAAAGATTGACACCATTATTTTTTTTTATTTTTTTATTTTTATTTAAGGAGAAAAGAAAAGAAAAAAAAACAGTGAAGGGGTACAAGTTATACAGATTTACAGAATAATAAAATGCGCAGTAGGAAATCACTAGTTAATGGATTACATATTGCCATCTTAGAAATAATTGTTTAAGTCACAAAATTAAAGCTTGTAGAGTGGACATTCCAACAATGATACTGCAAACAGTATACCCTCTTACCTACTAGAAAACAGAAACTTCCCAGAATTCAATACAGGACTGTAAACTGTTTTTAAAGATAACATGCGCGTAGTGGTCTCTTTTATTTCCCTCCTTCTCTGGCCAAAGCTCTCCCCCTGGTTTTGTAATCCTAGAGATGGCGCTGGCTAAAACTTCGGAATGAAGCCCGCGGGAGGGCACAAGGCTGTACCGCCAGCGCTAGACAGCCGGCGGAGCGCCGAGTTCAAGGCCAGCCTGGAGCCGGCCGGGAGACCCCATTTCAACAAGGAAGCCCGGAGGAGCGTCTGTTTGCAGAGCGGGTGTCCACGTTGTCCCGCGCACCATCCCGAGGCCCAGGCCTCGCAGCCCCGCGCCCCGGGACGGCAGCTGCAGCTCAGTGCCGTGTCTCCTGCGATCGCCTTCCTCACGGCGGATGACACGTTTTGGTCCTCTGCACCCCCGCCTTCGCGAGGCAAGGAGCAGCGTGCAGCACGCAGCAGCCCATGAGTAAGTCCGCGACGCGCGGGGAGCTCGGGGTCGGGGCTGCAGCACAGGCACAGCCGGCGCTCAGAGCTGCGGTCCCAGGCTCCACGCGACCCGCCGAGCTGCGGGGCTCGACTTTCACCCCAGAGCCGGCCGCCGGCTTCGTCCACGGCAGAGCAGGCGGGGTGGGCGTGGACGCGGCCGGGTCACCGACCGCGGGGGGGCGGGTTCCCGCGGCGCATATGCTTAGAAGGCCTAGGACGCCCTACGAATTGGGCTGGCTCTGCTTCCGAGTGAGCCGGTCCCGAGTCCGTCTCGCGGGCTGTGACGGTTTCGCTGGACCAGCGCTGCCGCACCCCCAAGTTTCACGCCGGGAAGGGAGGGCGTGCGCAGGCCGGGGGCGCGGCCCCGGCTTCCGGCTGCAGCGCCGGTTCCCACGCCAGCGAGCCCCGCCCCCTTGTACCCCGCCCCGCCCCGCGTGCCACGCCGCCGCAGACACCAGGTCTACAGGCCTGGTCCCCGTCGTGCCACGCCCCGGTACGCACCCGCCTCGGTGACGCGAGGGCGTCTCGCGTTTTGATTGGCTGCACGGGAAGCACGTGGACTTGCTGTGGGCGGGACAGTTTCCCGAGCCCTGATTGGCCAAGGGCGAAGCTGGTCGCCCTGCGGTGGAGTCGCGAAGGTCTGGGCTCCCGGACTGGACGGGGGTCGCACCTGGGCGCAGCGGTTTGGGGTTCCGCGCCTCCCTAGGAGCGGCCTGCAGTGCGCGCCCCTCTTCTGCCCTCGCGGTGACCCGCGGCCGCGGCTGCCCCGGGAGCTCCTCTGTGCTTGGGGGCGGCGCGGCGGTTTGCGGCCCTGGCGAACGCGCGAGCTGTGGGAGCAGAGCAGCGGGAGACGAAGCTGCCGCGGAGGAGCCGGAGCGGCGCGGGAGCCCAGCGCGTCCCCCGGCGCTCAGGAGGCCTCCCTGCCTCGGCCTTGCCGAGGGGCCTTCGCGGAGCGTGCCGGGAGCTGGGAGGAGGCCCGGGCCACGGCGGCGGCTTCCCCGCTTTCCTGCTCCCCGGCGGAGGCCGCAGTGAAGAGCCCGGGACACGGCCAGCAGGGGTCGCGCCGGCTTCCGCCCCTCTCCGTTTCCTGAGCCGCTCTGCGCCGCGCGGGCTCGCTTCCGGTGAGTGGGCCGCGCTCGGGCTCCGCGCCTGCACCGCCGTGCTGCGGGAGGAGCCTCAGGGGCTGCGAGACGCGGGCGGAGCTGCGGTGGCCGTGGCCGGCGCGGGAAGGAGCCCGGCTCGGGCGCGCCGAGGTGGCTGGGAGGCACGGGGAGTCTCGCCGCTGGGCTGGGGCGCAGCTGCGGCCGGTGCACGGAGGCCGGTGCGGGGACAGGGGCCGCCTGGGTCCTGAGGTCGGGAAAGTTGGCCTGCAGCGAAGCCGGCGTTCGGCCTTTAGGGTCCGCAGAGGGGTCGCAGGGCGGCACCCGGGGTGCGGGGGCTCAGCCGGCCTCGTCCTGCAGTGCGGCCCAGGCCACACGTGGGCGGGGAGGTGAGAAGGAGGCGTTGGAGCCCGAGCCGCAGGTGTCCGGCGGCTGCACCCGTGTGGGCGCGGTTTATACAGAGAGCAGTGGAGGAGACTGGGAGATGGCGAGGGATCCGGGTCCGCGGGATCAGCCGCTGGGCCCCCGGAGGAAAGCGCAGGAGGAAAGGCGGGGCCGAGTGGGCTGGCGGGGCTGGAAGCCTGGCCGGAGCCCCTGTGCCTGCGCTCGGCGGCGAAGCAGGAGGCGGGACCGCCTCGGTCCCCTTGGCCTCGCAGTGACTTGGCGGGGGTCGCTGTCATCACTGGGAGTGAGCTGGAAGATAAGAGTCCCTGCAGCCGGCTCAGGCTGGACTCGGGCAGTCACTGGCAGGTGTGAGGTAGCCTGACTCCAGGTAAAGCTTTATCCCAGAGGTGACAAACAGAAACGATGGGGATGGGGATGAAGCTCAGTGGCACCAAAAAGAAACAGAAAACAGGCCCCTGAGCTGAACTGTCCAGAGCAGCTAAGAGACTGTCCTGCTGGAACCAAGCGGCATTTGTCAGCTTGGCTGCAGCCTGTCTGCTGGGCTTGGGGATTCTGGAAACCTGGGGCGTCTCACGTACTTTTTTCAGCTCCCCTTTGTACACAGCGTGCTCTGTGCACTGTGAACCTGCGTGGCCCCCATGTGGCTCCCGAAGCCCGGGCACAGCTCCAGGGGCTCAGCCCTGGCAGGCCGAGCTCCCGGTGGCTCGGATGCCGCTGTGTCTTCTGCAGCTGGTGGCCCATGGGGAGTGTTTCCTGGAGGCTCCACCTCTCGATGCTCCTCTGGGCTGACCAGACTGGCTTCCCTGCTGGCTCAGGAGAGAAGGCCAGGCTTGGCGCAGCAGTGTGGGCTGCAGGATGGCGGAACTGAGCTGGTGGTCTCGGTAGCCTGTGTCGCTGTTAGGCTGTTCCTCCACCTCCCCTGAAAAGGGCATCTTTGTAGAAATTTAAGACTCTTGGTTGTTTTCCTGTCGTTTCCTTGAGGTTCAGTTGAGGTCCTTAAAGAAAATGCTAGAAAAGCTGTGCCTACAGAGACGTTTTGTCTGTATGGGCACTAAAGTGAGCTGTCATTGGGAAGAGTAAATTAAGATGGACATCTCCTCACTTTTCCTAATAGTGTAAGCATTTGCCGGGATTAGTGGGGCAGGGTTGGAAGAGAAGCCGGGCAGGCAGGAGCCAGGTGCGAGCTCTCCCTGCAGACTAGAACCCCACCGCTGGGACGCCCTGCAGGCCTGCGGAACTGACTTGGAGCGTCTTCATGTAAGACTTACAGGACATAAACACTGAGGCCTTTCCCCTCCTTCTGTTCTATATTGATCTAACCCTGGCCCAGTAGGGCCCTAAGGACACAGAGGTGGCCTGTGTCAGACCAAGGCAGCTGGACCAGGACTCTGGGCCCCACTAACACTGCCACGTGGTACTTGGCACTCACCAGGCTGGGATTTATTTTAATTCTGAGTTCATACATAGGAGCCCCATTGATGTAATAAAACAAGCATAGATTAATCTAAAACAGATTAACTGACCTAACTGGTAGTTACTCAGCAAAAACACCCTGAAATATAAAATGAGATGAAGCCCCTTTCCCAAGGAAAGTATCTGCTAATTAGCAGCTGTACACATGAAAGCCGTTTTTCAAAGGTGTGTGTGAGAAAGATGGGCAGGGAACCTTGCCAGCAGCGTCCAGCAGCCCCGGGTACAAGGAGGGCAGGCCAGCTGTGCGCATGTCACTTAGTGGATCCTGAACCCAGAGCTCCAAGCACAGATGAGCCTCCCGGGTCACCCCTGAGAGCCTTTCTCTTGTCTCGTAGCTGGGATGACAGGCGTGCTGCGGGCGCTGCTGGCACTGCAGGCCGGGCCCCGCAGGCTGTGCTGCTTCTGGACGGTGCCAGCAGCACCCAGATGGGCCCCTCGGTCACCTCACTGCGCCTTTGCAACGGATGGCCAGTCCCAGAAGGAAAATGAGAGAACAGTGCAACAGCTCTGCAAGCTGTCTGTTGACCTCAGGAAAATCCGCAGATGGAAAGGCTGGGTGCTGCTGCAGGAAGACAGCTACGTGGAGGAGGTGGTGCGCGTCCTGCAAGGCCTGGGCACCGACGCGGTCGCGGTGGCCAGCGTGTTGGAGCGCTACCCCGAAGCCGTGCTCTGCAGCCCCGCCGCGGTGGCCACCCAGAAGGACCTCTGGCAGCTGGTGTGTGGCAGCGAGCGTGAGTTGGCCAGGCTCATAGAGCGGTTCCCGGAGGCGTTCTTTACCATCCAGGACCAGGAGAACCTGGAGCTGAACATCCGACTCTTTCAAGAGCTGGGGCTCAGGAATGTGGTGATCAGCAGGTTGCTGACCACGGCGACCAGCGTCTTCCACCACCCTGCGGAGAAGAACAAGCAGATGGTGCGGGTCCTGCAGGAGAGTTACCTGCACAGGGGCGGGGCTGAGGCCAACCTCAAAGTCTGGCTGCTAAAATTACTAAGCCAGAACCCGTTCATTTTGTTCAGTTCTCCCGCGGCCGTGAGGGAAACACTAGAATCTCTCCAGGAGCAGGGTTTCACGAACTCGGAAATTCTTCAGCTTCTGTCCAAACTCAAAGGGTTCCTTTTTCAGCTTTGCCCAAGAGGCATACAGAACAGTATTTCCTTCTCAAAAAATGCACTCGAATGCACAGACCGTGACCTGAAGCAGCTGGTTTTGAAATGTCCTGCTCTCCTGTACTACTCTGTTCCAGTTTTAGAAGAGCGAATTCGGGGGTTAGTGCAAGAGGGGGTTTCCATAGCGCAGATAAGAGAGGCGCCAGCGGTGCTCGAGTTAACGCCACAGGTAGTCCAGTACAGAATAAGGAAACTGAGCTCCTCAGGCTACAGAATACAGGACGGCCACCTAGCAGATCTCAGCGGGACGAAGAGGGAGTTTGAGGCAAACTTTGGCAAAATCCAGGCCAAGAGAGAAAGACCTCTGTTTAACCCCGTGGCACCACTGGACGTTGAAGGGTGACTGCCTGAGTGACACCACTTCCAGCAGCACCGAGGAAGCTGAGGCTGACGCACCTCAGGCTGCTTTGGCTTCTGCGTTGTTTAAAGTTACTTCGAAACATGATTTCTACTTCATGGGCTGTATTTTATATTTTAAATTGTGTTTAAGTAAAGGTAACCTACCCTTGAACATGACTCCTAAAACTTGTGTAGTTTTGAGCCGGGGCATCTGTGTGGCATCTTGCTAAGTAAATCATTGCTAAGAAACCTACTTCACACTGCCCTCTTCACCCAGAGCAAACCCATCACCGTCTCCCCTCGCTGCCAGCCCCGCAACCTCACTCCCCTGTGGCTGAGTTTGGCAGTGTAGCCTTAAGTGAAAACTTAGCAAATTTCTGGTATATTTTTAAAGAAAACTTCATCTGAATTTTGGAGTAATTAACTTGGAGTATTATCCAAAAAGAACCACAAGGGCCGGCTCCTGAGGTCAGCTGGGTGAACTGACCCCTTCACCAGAGGAGAAAGAGCTGGTCACAGGCTTAGTAAGATGCGAATGAATTCTGTTGAGACCTCAATAGAGGCGTGAGGGAACCGGCGCAGAGGTCACACTGCCGTGTTACCAAAAACGTGGAAAGCACACAAACTGGAAGCTTTTGTGAAAGCTTCCCTATCAAATTTCTTAATGTGAAATTTTCAGTTCATGTAATTTAAAACTGCAAATCCAGGCCTGCCTACCCAGGAAAAAGGATGAGCTGGGCTGCTGGAGCAGGGGCATTCCTGGGTTTCCAGTTCTAATCTGTTCCAAAACACACACTGCCCAGGTAAGGTGGGCTCACTTCCAGCTGTGGAGTTTGACCTCTGTACCAAGCACACAGCCAGCAACTGCCTCGGAGCACCTGTGGCCAGGGTCTGCAGAGCCTGTTAGGTACAGGAAAGAGGTCGGGAGGCGTGCAGGCCGGTGCCTCTAGCTGTCCTTCCCGCAGGTGCAGACATGCTTTGCAAAGCTGCCTGTCACCAGGTAGCACAGCACCTGCGCGCTGAACCCTGCTCTCCCAAGGGCCGCGGGCTAAGGAGATTGGGGAAGTTGCTGTCCGGAAGCTCTGAGGACCACCTGTCACGCACGGGCAGACCAGAGGCTGAGACTGCGCAGTTTTGTTTAAATAGCGTGTTTATACACAGCCCAGTGACAGATGGGGACCCGGAGCCACAGGAGAGTGAGCTGGGTTGGGTCACTGGGGAGCAGCAGCTGGAGCCTGGCCTGGAGCAGGAAGCAGGGGTGCAGGGGAAGGCCACAGCCACCTGTGCAGGTGGGAAACGGCGAGGCCAAGGGCCACTCACTGCAGTCAGACTGTCCCCACAGGAGCGCCAGGGTGCTGCAGAGGAGCCTGCAGGGGAGCCAGGGGACCAAGTGCCTGGCCTGGCCTGGCCACCCTCTAGGAGGCCGCCTCCCAGCCGGCCAGCGGGCCAGCCAGCCAGGTCTCAGCCTGAGCCTCCAAGAGTTACACAGTTTCACCTGGCCGTGTTTCCCATCTTTCTCTGATCACCCCACGAAACACAATTCTGAACATTCAGAACCAACACTAGGAGGAGAGGCCTGGCTGTGAGTGACCTCCTCTCTGTGTACAGTCACGCTGCAGTGGTCTGCAGCGAGATGGCACCTGCTGCCACAGCATGGCCCAGCCTGGGGGAAGCCAGAGCCACACAGGGATCCGGGACCTGGGACCCCAGAACCTCATCTGGGCCAGGTGGGGAGCCAGGGCGGTGTGGACAGTGAAACCAGGCCTGTGGTGCTCAGTGACCGGATGGCCCAGGGCAGCAGGTGGGAGTCCACCCGCCCCTGCCCCCAGCCTCAGCCATGGACCGCACACCACCGCTGCCCCGAGGTCGGGGCTCAGGCAGAACCGCAGGGCTGACGAGGGAAGGAAAGCCTAGAACTCCACATTTGCAATTTTTATTAGAGTTGCTTAAAATAGATCTGTATCTCACTGTTGTGTTGGCATCAAAATACATGTTCTGGGACGTCAGTCTGTACATCTCCAGCACAAAAATTAAAACTGGTCATAGCACGTTCGGAGCTGCTGTGTAACTAGAAGTTCTGAGACTGTCCTGTTTTAAGTTTCCCCTTACGTCTTTTAGATCTCTACGAAACATTTCATGTCTTGCAGATCATAGTGCTTTATTAATTCATGTACTCTTTGCCCATCCCTTTAATACAAAAAGTTACTCAGTCCCTCTGACACTTCACTAGTGCAGGCCCTGTAACGTCGGGTCACGGGTCCCGTCTTGGTGTGACAAACACCCATGTGGAAAGGAAGGCACAGCAGCGCCTCTGGTGCATGGCGCTCGGCTTCCGGGATGAGCCACTCCGGTCTCCACAGCCCGAGCTGCCCCTTGATCCACCGGGAGGGTGTGGGCGACACCACCGGCCACACGTGTCGCACAGGCCACGCTCACCTGGCAACAGCCTTCAAAAGGACGTTCATGGTTCCGTGGTGAAGGCCCTCTCCACTAAGCTGTAGCTTCGAACTGCAAACCACCTCTGAGGTAAGCTCTACCAGGCGGCTGGTCCTCCGTGGGAGAAACTGCAACCATTTTCCTCAAGCGATTCTAAGGAGCAGGCTGAAAATATAAATATGCAAGCATACAGAAAACTGAAGTCTATGCTTAGGAGAAATCCGGTTACAAGCACAGCAGAGCCAGTGGTGTGGGAGATAAGGCAGAAATAGAAACCAGCAAGGAAGCAACACTAACTTTACAACAGCAGAAAACAGGTTCTCCGTATCATTATTTAGGTAACTTAGCGTTCAAATATTAATTTTGGAGCTCTAAAAAAGATCCCCTTTGATAATTAAAACACTTGACCAGAATAAACCAACAATGTATCTTAAATCATGTTGCATAAAATAAGTGACCCATTTAACAGAACTACTTAATGAACTTTGCAGTTGTGTATAGGCAGCAAAGTTCCAGACCCTTGTAGACTTGCTGTCTGCAGGGGAGTCCTCCTCCTCTGCCAGCCCACAGCACTAAAGCGATGCTCTGAGGGTTTGCAACCCAGATGCTGCAGCATGCCACCCGGATCCCCGGGGACAGGACCCGACTCCACCCGCAGAAAGCCCACCGCTCCAGGCTTCCGACGTTTCAGGCCAGGGTTAAACCCTCCGGGGAAAGGGCAGTACGGAGTCCTCACGCGCTGTCAGAAATACCTCGGCCAAGTTCCCTTCCTGGGGTGCAGGGGACAGCATGGCGGGTCAGGGAGGCACCACACGCTGCCTTCCGCAACCCAAACGCCACTTCCCTCCTGGCAGGGGCTGGAAAGCAGCGCTGTGCAGCTGCTTCAGGGGCTCGCGACGGCATGTTTCAGAAGCCTTCCGAAGTCCGTCAGGGCGCACCTGTGTCACTGGAAACTGATCTAGGGAGCCCGGTGCACCGAAAGTCAGCCCTCGAGTGGGTGTGGATGCTTTCATCCTATTTTTAAAGGGGAGCACTCCTGATAACTGAGGCCATCTTACAGACAGACTAGGTGTGCAGGACGCCTTTCCTGTCCTGCCTGCCTTAACTACTACTCAGGGACTTCACATCCGGTCCCCCTTAGGACGAGACCCCTCACAGCGAAGACGCGGACCTCAGGCACTGAGAGGCGTGTTGGTGGTGGAGCACAAGCCAGGTCCACGCGTGCAGCCCGACTGCGTCCCCCGGACCCCCCGCAAGCACCATGCTGGCCACCGATCCCTCCTCGAGAGTCCTAGGAGGAAACCCCATCTCAACCCTCACGAGGCCCCGAGCCAATTTCAAGCCCTGCACATATGAAGGTATCAGAAAAGATGTTCCCTTTGTAAGGCATCAGCGATTGAATGAGCAGACTGTGGGGGGCTCCCAGTCCCCTCGCACCGTTCACCTCTTGCCCACACCTCGCCCACGCCCCCGCCGTGGCCCGCTCCACTGCTGGGGACCGGACACCAGGACCCCGGAGACTGCGAGGCACAGCAACGGGGCAGTTTCGTAGCTCAGGCTTCGTCCGTCGGGGGACTTGGGGCACCTGGCACGCTGTACACACCGACCGGGAGCTCTAAGGGACCTGACCTGGCGTTCACACCGCAGTCGGACGGAAAGGCGCAGAGGAAACACCCAACACACGTGTCTGCAGTTACAGCTGAGTCCCTGTAACATTTTACCAGGTCAAAAGCTGGAACTTAAGTGTGACAAACCTTCACACACTGTGCTAGTATTGGTCTCTCTAGCGGAAAGCCAGTCCTCAATACTTGAACACAGCAGTTCAGCAGAGGAGCGGCCAGCACGGTGGCCGCGGTGTAGTCCGTCACGCGGTGGTGCAGCGCCAGCGGCATCGGCATCGGCATCGGCGGGCCGTGGGGAGCGAGGCACCGGCCTTAGTCAGACTTGTCCTTCTTCTTCCCGGTCAAGGGCACTTTGCTGACAACCGCAGAGCCCACCGCTGTGACTCCTCCAGCCACGGCGGACACGCCCCCTCTCACCAGCCCTATTCCCATGGAAGGCACAGTTGTTACGGCCGTTTTGGTCACCTCCAGGCTCTTCCCACCAATCCAAGCCACACCACCAAGGGTGGCGCCCACGGCGCCCTTGGTAACGCTGAAGAGGCCCCCAGTCACGCGGGACAGCATGCCGGGCTGCTGCTGCTGCGGATGGTCCTTCATGGAACCTGGCGAGAGAAAACATCACGTCCAAGGTGAGTCCCACCCCCGGGTGGGTGTGAGCCAGCAGTGCTGAGACAGTGAAGAGCTGTCGCCTGCAGGCACAGCCCTGTCTCAGCCTATGCCTGGCGATGCTGGAACCACAGGCAAGGCACAACAGCCCTGTTTTCGGTGTTCCCCCTTGATTCACAGGCTTTGTTGTTCATCTTTTAATACCCTAAAAGGAACGTGAAAAATGAAGAGATACACACAGTTGGCCTTTCTTTGCCTCACAGGATGCAGCCCACCATTACAGCAGTGGTCCCCAGAAAGCTGTGGCTCGCAAGGCGCAGCCCGAGAGCCCTAGACGCCCCGAGAGCGGAACAGGAAACCCGCTAATGCTTAATGGAAAACAAAGAAAAAATTCTGGAAATCGAATTTTCTAATATACAGAGTACAAATTCGCCTGGATACTTGTTTCTTGTTTGGTGCCTTTACATTCTATCCTAAGTGGGAAATTCTCACTGACTAGTCAAAATAGTTAACAGGTTCGTGCACAGTGACGGCCACATTTTTACAGAGATAATCCAGCGCCTTCCGTAAAACTAAGCAGTGGGGCCTGGGACGGAGCTCAGTAATGAGCACTGTCCTGCGTGGTGTGTGACGGTCTTGAGTTTAGTCCTAGCACCAAAACACCTGTAAGCAAATGAACATAAATTTTAAATGGCTAAAAGAAAACACAAGCATCTAGACTTGTCATAAGCTTAGCGTGGAAGGGACTCCATAACCGGCAACTTGTTTATATGTAACTTGAAAGCCGGGAAAAGCCTGAAGCTCTGATCTGAGGGCTGCAGGGGCCTGGCCAGGTGCCAGACACCTCGTGTGCAAAACTCCCGCTCCGCTGAGCTGCGCACACACACTTCATGAAGACAAATGCCAGTTCACAATCAGTAAGAAAGAGTAATACGGTTCTTGCTTTAATTACAGTATGCTTTTAATTATACCACATAAATTACAGTTTTTAAGCAGCTGGCACATGAAGACATTCCGGACAATCCAGCTCCCGGGGGCCTCTACTTACCCCTTTCTGACCCCTTTCCCACAAACTGCTCAACTCTCAAGTCAACTAGTTCCTCCGCCTTCTTCTAGGCTCAAGTGATGGTTTTCACTGTTAGTTTCCTAGCCATTTCATTTGCTGACACCGAACTATGTAAAGAAAATTGAGGAGAAAACACAGCGCCTAGTGTCGGGACTCCTCACAACCAGCATGCAGCCCTCCAGGGAGACAGTTATTTACGATAACAGCAGTCTATACCCGTGGTGTGAACCCACGGCACACGTGTGCAGGATCTAGTTGTATCACTGAAAGCTTTAAAAAGTTTGCCATCACTGGATACCAAAGCCATAAATAAAAAATGTCTACAGTCATTTTTTGTATCAGATCAGGACCAGCGTGGGCGTTGTTAATGTTTCCAAAGCTTTCAGAAGAAACGATTCATGATTTCACCGTTTTCAATCTATGAAAGAATTTCGATTCAGAAAGCAACTGAAGCAGTCCCCAGACCGTACACCAGGAGACAGCTGCCAATCACAAACGTGATGAGGAGCAGCTGACACCTCAATGCCTCTTGTGGGGGGTGACTTTTGGGATGCAGGACATCAAAAGTAAACACAGTCCATCCTTCTGTACCCTTACAGATGAAAGGATGTTGTGAAATGATCTAACACTAGAGAGCAGTCAGAAAATCAACCTCATCTAATAAAACCAAGTTGTGTCTCTGTTCACCAACCTCTGTGCTGCTTTACTACAGGCTAAAAATGTTTATCGTGGGAATGTATTCACTGACCAGGCAAACAGACCATGATTTTTTACAGTTAATAACAGTCGGAGCTGTCGTTCACTAGGAAATTCCTTCCACTCTCAGTGCTACAGATGCATATTTACCTTCTGGCGGTTCATCACTAAGGTAGGCTGGGATGTCTTGTTGATTTTTATCTGCCTGATTCATAATCTAAAAAAACAAACAGACACAATTAGTTTTAAAATGACTCCACCACGTAGCACACACTGAATTAAGACTTAACCGACTCGATTTAGAAACCGTTTTTTAAACCCACAGTACTTCATCCTCTCCGTTTCACACTACAGCGCTTAGACGGCCCCTCAGTTACTCCAGGGGATGCCACAAGTCTGATCCGAAGGACGAGAAGGACGAACAGGAGAGCGGCAGCCCTGGGTGGCAGTGCTGCGCCTCGGCCTCGGCCTCTGCCTCTGCCTCTGGCTGGGAACTGGGCAGCCAGCGGGGGAGGGCTGGGCTGGGGCGGAGCAGAGGAGGAGAAAGCCAGCAGTGTGACTGGGTGAGAAACCCTGCCGACTGCTCCTGCTCGGTCTTAGAGCTCAGAGAACAGAGGCCACTATCTCCATGTATGTACGTTTAAAATGATTTGTGTTAAAAGTAGGAGGCCTAGGAGGTAAAATAAAGTATCATGAGGTAAAGAATATATGCATTAAATTTCCTTTTCCTGATTTCCTTTATTATTTTAAAATATTTGCCTTTAAATTCATGTGACTAAGTAAAAATTTAGCCAAGTCAAGTTGGTCCAAGCGTGCTCTTCTGAGATGCGGTCTGCCTAGGTTAGTGACCCCAGCAGCCGACCCAGCATTTCTGAGTCGCCCCCCTGGAGCTGAGCGAGCACCTGTGAACATGCACAGTAGGTATTAGAGGACACTGGGAAACCGGAGGTCCTTGCAGCACCTGAGGACCAGGTGCACGGGACACAGCGGTGGTCAGACAGACCCAAGAGTCCCTGTCGTCAGGAAATAGTCACTCTAGTTGGGGAAAAAGAGGGTAAAGAAAGTGCACAGATGCTCCACGGCCTGTCCAGTGGCACTGAACACTGTAGAGAAAGGGCTGGGAGAACACTCTCGGGTCCCGCAGCAGGAGGGGGCTGGGCAGGGGCCTCCCTCCGCAGACTCCTGCCGCTGACCACTCCGAGTCCGTTCTTTCTGGCAGCAGTGTTAGGCATCAGATGTGCAGGTGATGAGCTAGGGCAGGGTCCCCGGGGATGGTCAGCTGCAGCCCCCAGAGGGGACAGCCAGTGACGTGGGGGCCCACCAAGGGTCAGCTCAGGCGGGCCCTGCAGGCAGCTGGAGCCTGGACCGCACTGAGTGGCGGGAAGCTAGGGAAGGGAGGGACAGGGGAGTGAGGGGTCTGATTCATATTTCTAGAAAATCTTTCTGGCTGCTGTGGGGAGGACAAACAGCAGCAGAATTCAGCAAGGAAACAACTGCTAGCAAAGGCTGGTGGAAGTGAGACTGTCCACAGGAATTTTAACTTCATGCAGTTCATCTGGCCATGCCTTCAAAACCTAAATCCCAGCCAGGCCTGGTGATGCACCCCTGTAATCCCAGCGATGCTTAGGCAGCAAGTTGGAGGCCAGCCGAGGTTACAAAGTAAGTTTAAGGCCAGTCTGAACAGCATAGTGAAACCTGCCTCAAGAGATAAAAACAGAAGCCTAGATCCCATCTGTGCTGACTTCACTGCACCCTAAAACCGGACAGGGTGTGCGCTGTGTTTCCGGAGTTCTTTTAGTGCTCCAGTGCGAGGCCTGACTCAGGCCACTTAGCAACAGCAACTAACCTCGTCCCAGGCTGCAGTTCAGGTCAATTCAGCACATCCCATGCCTACTTAAAAATTTAAACAGTAACAGCCAACATGTGTAACGTCTCATAGAAAGCCACAGGATGACAACTGGATCCTTGGAGAGGTTCTTCCTGATTCTCTCAAGTTTAAAATCCCCTCAAACTTGGAAACTGTGCTTATTTCCACTGACATGTATTCTTTCTTTGATTTATCATCATCTAAGATCATAACAAATTATACAGCACAGTGGTTAAGGCCCTGGGATCCGAAAGCCTGCAGCTGAGTCCAAACTTGACCATAAGCTGCAGCCGCATGGTGGAGGAATGATCACTGCATTAGTGTTGCTATTTAGGCTTCCAAATAGAAATTAAACATATTCTAGCCCTTGCTCTAATACTGTTTAACAAATTCCAAAACAAAACGTGCAGAAACTCGTGCAAAATGTGTATTTTGCCTGTGGAAAATGGTTATTTTAGAGACACTTCCTCCACCCGCCACAGGACTGTTAAATTCAAGAAAACTGACGCCTTGTGCAGTTTGCCTACCACTGTAATCACACTTCTACACACACACACACACACACACACACACACACACACACACACCCCCGGCTGATCACCAGCCAGCCAGTGTTTGCACTGGAGTTGGAACTGCTGTGGTCACAACAGTCCCTGCACGCGGTCCGAGAATTTCGTCTTGGTGCCAAATCCCCAAGTGGCACCTCACCTTCTCCACCTCACACAGGAGCCTTGACAGGTGGTGTTTTCTATACTGTATCTGTTGTGTAATTACAAAATACCATGGCTTGAAGACGAAGGCTGCTTATACTACAAATTCATTAGGATGTCTGCAGATGACTCAGACAGTGTGAAGGGACTTCACCCTTCTGCTGCTGGCAGTGAGGAGCCAAGAGCCGGCAGCAGCAGCCTGTGCTGTGAGAAGCCACCAGAGCACGGACAGACGGAAGGACAGCCAGGTTAGATGCGGTCGGCACTACCCCAGGCCCGAGTGCTCTTCCTGTCTAAAGGAAAGCTTGGACCCCAGCCTCGGAGTCACCCTGGCTTCCTTTCCTTTTTGTCAGTAAACTGTCACCTAAATCAGTCTACACCATGAACACTCCTCACTGCTACTTCCATGGCACATCAGACCACCCGAGCCACCGCGACCTCCTACTCAAACGACTAGAAAACCTCTCAGCTGGCCTCTGAGCTTTGCTCCTCTTCAGCCCAGCCATAGAGTCTCCTAAGCCCTTTCTGTCCAGCTCACACTACAATCCAGAGTGCTCACACAGTGGCCCTGGCGCTCTGGATGACACCCCGTATCACCCACCACACAGCGCCTGCTGGCCCCACTCCAGCGGAGCCACCCCATGCGAGTCCTCTCCTGAGGGCCCCCTCAGGCCTGACACGGCTGTCACCTGTCTGCGCAGGCCCCTGGCCACCTTTCAACAGCAGCGCGCCCCACCCACTCCCCTGTCATCTTCACCTGACCTTGCCATAGCCTCTGTCCGTCCTGTCTGTTCAATCAGAATGTGAACCCCACAAGAACAGGGCCTCGGGGCCGCTCACCGATGTCCGACCACGGAGGGCTATGGAGTAAACAGGTAATAACGAGAGAAAAGGGGAATCTAGGACACCAGACCCCTAGAGTAAGCAACCAAGAGAGGACTGCAGAAGGCAGCCCTCGCCAGAGAGATGAGGAGCCTGGACCAAGCTGCCTAGAGACAGCTGGCCTTCCCGGGAGCCCTCGCAGGGTTAGGGGCCCGCACGGAGCCGCCGTGAGCCGCCGTCCGCAGAGCGGCCTGCAGCGAGAGAGAGCAGAGGCTGCGAGGGCAGGTGAGGGGACCAGCAGAGGGGCTGAGAATGCTCTCACCCGGACTGCTCCGAGTGAAGAGGCGGACAATCCCACCTGCAGTCCCAGCCCACTACACAAAGCGCCACGCTGCAACTAACCTGAGCGCTGAAGTTTCAGTTTAGAAAAACCAAGTCCTGCATTCACATCTTTTGTCTTAGAAGAAAACCAACTGTAAGGTAGTGATAAGATATATACAATTTACGTTTATAGTTCATATGCAGTGTTTACATTTAGTGTTTATATACACACAGAAAACCACACAGCATCTAACTTTGCATTTTCTACCATAAATACGCATTAGTTTTGCAATTAAAGATGTGTCTCAGCCTTGAAAGTTAACGATGTTTACACACGGTATTTAAGGCTCGTCCTCTTTTCCTAGGTTTCTATCTGCAGGTGAAGCTGCTCGTCTAGGAAACACTGCCCGCGTCACAGGATGCGCGCAGGAAGCGCCAGGCCGCAGGTGCTGTGCACACGCATGCCCTTGGGGAGGAGACCCTGCCGCCCTGACTGTGTGAGCTGCAGCCTCGGGCCCATCCGCCCTCAAGTCACCTGCTGCTCTGGTAACCTCTGCAGAGGTGAACATTCAGCATCTTACCTTCCCAAAACTTTAGTGTTCTCCCTGGCATCTTTTTTCTGTTTAAAAGACAGTACAAAGATATGATGTCTCCCTTCTACTGCTGGACTCCAGGGAGCTTTTAGCTGCAATCCAGACCCCACAAGTAAGTAGTCTCTGGGCTTAAGTGGGTCGTCCCCCCCTCCCCCACCCCCTCAGGATGGACTTTTAGCTGCAATCCAGACCCCACAAGTAAGTAGTCTCTGGGCTTAAGTGGGTCGTCCCCCCCTCCCCCACCCCCTCAGGATGGACTATTTTATGTTGGCTTGCAACATGAACATCTTATTGATATTTTTGCCATTTTCTTAAATATTTCTGCTATATGCTGATACCTAGTATTTGTAGAGTAAGTAGGATAAAAATAAAATCTTTATATCTACATTAACTTTAAGCATCACAATGCACACATCAACATATTGCCCATATTTTTAGTTTATGAAAAGAAACTCTAAGCTCTCACTGTGCTTTTCACATGTACCTTTCTGTGTGGGCAGTGGTCTGCCAGGGCTTGAGAAGCCATAGAAGAGACACGACCCATGCAGCTCACTTTGCAGCAGTTTAAATCCTTCATTTGAGAAGTGCCTGAGAAGTGAACCGTGGGTGCCTGGGAGTTTTCCCACAATCCCAGGCTTTCAGGAACTCTGCTTGGGGTCACTCTCCCCTGGCAGTGTCCCACCAGCCCAGCCACACACCCACTCACACACCAGATGTGAGAGGCAGAGAGTTACCTCAGAAATTTGGTTACACCTAACATTATTAGCTACAGTTACCAATAAAATTAAAGGAGCAAATCTGAATCCTGCCAAGCCACGCATGTCTACTGGGACTAGAGGAGCTTGAGGTCCTAGCAGGCCAGAGGTAGGGTTCTGACTGGGTCTGAGTTTCTTATGTATCAATGGTCTTAACACCAAGCGTGTAGTACTGAAATTCCTTTGAAGCTCTTAGGGCAATAAAAACTCTGTAAAAGCTGCAAGTATTTTAGACCCTCCCCAATTCCAAATTGTAAAACAGTTGCCTTTCTTCCTTTGTACTTTTGATGCACAGAAACTATTCCCTACCTCTATATATAGTTACAACAAAATTGTAATGATAGACCTCTTTGTGGATATTACCTCTTTACTGTAAGGAGAAATTTTTTTATGCAGTTGTCCTCCTTATGCACAAGGGGTCCATTCTGACACCCCCACTGAAGGCCGGAATCTGTATATAGGACTTAACCACACATCTACAGTTTCTCCTCTGTACACCTCCACTCCTATGATGAAGTTTAAATTATATATTAGGCAAATAGATTAACAACAATAACTATAACAATATAATAAATCGATATGGTCTCTCAAAATAGACTTTCACATTTTCACTTAAAGGAAGCATTTTACAGTTTCTAAATCTCAGCCCCAACATCACTTGCACTTTAGGGCCATAATTAAGTAAAATAAGGATAAGCACTGTGGTAATCAATGGGATAACCCAAGGTACTAAGTGATTAACAGGTGGGCAGCATATACAGCATGGACACTCTGGACAAAGCACACATCCATGTCCTCAACAGTATGGAGCAACACAAGGCAAGATTTCATCACTGCTCATCACGGTGTATGATCTAAAACTTACTGTTTATTCCTGGAACTTTCCCCTTTACTATTTCTGGACCATGGCTGACTGCAGATAACTGAAACTGCAGGACAGAGGCCCAGGGTAAGGGTACGGCTGTATTATCCTCCTGCCCTCTACCACCACCGCAGACCTATTTCTCTTCTGCTAGGAACTGTGACGAGGCACACCCTCTCACCTCCTGAAAATCTACTAAATAAAAAATGTATGTGATGACAACAACTGACAGTGGCAAACTGACAACTTTAAAATGTTACCTTTAAATGGTATGACAGACAAAACTATCCAACCCTAAATAAACCGTCTCCCCTGAGCTCACTGCATCGTTAGTTCAGTACATACCTGAGCCCGACTATGTGCTGGGATCCCTTACACACTTAAGCTCTAACTGAGAGCTTACCATAGGGGGAACATATTTTCCTAGCAGCCACCCTCATTCTTTTGGTTCACTCATTCAAGAAGTGGTCTATCTGCCCTCTAGGAGCTCACAATGCACCTGAGCTTCCACTACAGAACACACTTTCCCAAGAAAGGGCACACTGACAGACCTTTCCACCGGGACTTAGCCCACTCTGTGGACACAAGTCAGTTCTATCTTTTGGTCCTGACGCAAACAGATGATTATATTACCAGCTAAAACCGCTTGTAAGTAGATTTTTAAAGAAACTGTAAACATGAAAGACCTTTTTTGCTATCGACTGTACAACATGACATGTAACACGTAATTCATCAGGAGTTCTTTAAGGAGAGTGGAGGTGGATAATTTCTGTCCAGTACAATAGCCTCAAAGATAGAGCAGCTGGTAAACAGACTGAGCAAAGACCAGTAACAACCCTATTCCCTGCAGACTAATCTATTCCAATAATAGGAGTAACAAACACCTCTCTGCAAACTTCTTATTTAAACAAAAGGGAAACAGATGAAGTCAATGTGGTTTTTGTGGGTTTCAGTTTATATAAATCTATTTTTTTTCAAAATATAAACAGTCTAAACAGTACACGTATTTACCTATGAGTGCCACCCGTAACAAGTTCAGTAGTCCTTTGTGTAAATCTCACCTACAAAGCAATGCACAACAGTCTGCCTTTAGAGCGCTTCCGAATGTTATAGAAAGTAAAAGTGCCAATTTTCCTATGTAAGAGATTACAAGTAGCTGAATTCTTCTACACGTTCTATATATAGGAACACTGCCACATCCTCACGCCCATGTCTTGGTTTCTTTGCCAAGTAACTGCTAGAATATTCAGAAACACATGATGGAGCGCGCTAACACACACACACCGAGGAGAATGTACCCTGATCACCAGATCTAGAACCAGAGCCATCCGGGCTTGGGAAGCTCGCCCTTGCCCACTGATTAATAATAAACTGACTACCAGAAATGCACTGAGGCTAGCAAGGAAGAAGAAATCATCCGTCACTAAAACCTGGAAGCTACACAGTGACAAGTAACAACTGACAGCGTCAAAATGGCAACATTCAAGGGCTGTCCTTAGGGAAAGGCTCCGCAGAATCACGATACTCTGCCAACTCAGGGAACCAGGACATCCGCCACTGTCACTAAATGACACACCCCGAGGCGCCCAGGCGCCGCTGGGCACTGAAGGAGCACTGGGAGGCCCCACTCCCAAAGAGCTTGCACACACGCCCAGAGAGACGCCCAGAGAGACGCCTCACGCCTGGGAAGGAGGAAAAGTCCAAACCCTCGGGGGCTGAAACAAAGAGAGGAGAGTTCCTCGGAGTTTAAGAGACACGGCCACGCGCACACACACACACACACACACACACACACACACACACAGCACAGGTTTGTCTCACGCGGGGACCGCTCCAACTTTCCCTGCGATGCTCCTCTGCAGGAACGACGTTCCCCTGCACTCGGCCACGGATGCCTCTGTGACAACAAAGACGGGAGCCACAAAAGCGGAAAAGGCAGCACAGGATGTGCACGGCTCGCGAGCTCACTCCTCCTCCTCGCGTCAGGGAGCCGGAGGTGGGCGCGCGACGCGCTCGCGTACCTGTTGGTGCGACGCCAGTGTCGGGGCGCCCTCGCGAGCACCCGCCCCGAGAAGTTCGACAGGGTGAACAGCAGCTTCTGCGAACGGCGGGACCCGCGTTCCCGGGGGGCGGTCGGCGCAGACCGGGCGCACCGGCCGAGCCCGCTCCCCAGGGATCCCCGGGCGTGACGTGGCAGGCGACAGAAAGTGACCCCGGAGGCGCCGTGGGCGCTGCGCGGGCGCCTCCCTCCTCGCCGCGCGCCCAGCACGCAGCACCCACGGGGTGCTGGCCGACGCGGGGGCCGAGCGGCCAGGGGCGCGGGGCGTGGGGCGCGGGCTCCCGGCCCCCGCGACCTCACCTGCAGGCTCGGCCCGGCCCGGCCGTGGGATGCGCGTTCCGCCGGCGGCCAAGCCCGGGTCCCGTGCCGCGTCCCCGCGGGTGCACCGGGCAGGAGGGGGTCCCCGCCGCCGACACCTGGGACGCTGAGCGCCCCACAGGGCCTGGTGCCCTCGAGGGGCGCGGAGAGGGGGACCTCGGGGCCCCCAGGCGGTAGCGCGGCTCGCGGACGCCCGGGACGCCGACTTACCGCGGTGGCGCCGGCGCCGACGAGGGGCGGCCTGGGACGGCGGGCTCCGGGGGCTCCCGCGGTTGAGGCTGGACTCGCGCGGCCGCGGTGGCGGGATCCGGTTGCGGACGTGGCGCCCGACGCGACCCGCCCCCTCCGCGCCGCCTCAGCACCGCCCCCGCCCGCGGCTGGGCCCTGACGCGCACGCGCTGTCGCGCACCCGCCCCGCCCCCTCGCTCGCTCGCCCACCCACTCCGCGAACTGCCCGGCCCTCCCGGCAGCCCCTAGTCGGCTTCTTTCCGACGTGCGCACGCGCGGCACCGCGATGGCGCGCCCGCCCCCTCGCCCCTGGCGCCTCCGCGGGAGCCCCCGGGTCGCCGGCGCGCGCCTCCGCAAGGTCTCCCCGCCCCTTCCTCCACCGGCCAATCAGGACTGGGACCAGCCTCTGATTGGCGGCCTTCCTCCGCTCTGTCGCCGAGTAACGGTCGTGGGACTCCAGCGCCTTTGCGGCAAGGAGGGGGCGACCGCAGCTGAGCGCTAGTACGCGCGCGTCCATATCCGCGGCGCCTTCGGGCCGGGCTCGGCGGGGGGACCTGCGCCTCGGTGACTGGCGGCGGCGTGAGGAGACGTGCGGCTCGCTTCTGCGTCTGCGTTGTTTTCCCGGCCTCGGCTGTCTTCGAGGGAGGAAAGCCCGTCGGGGTCGCGCTCCAGGCGGCCTGGCCAGGCCAGGCCCACACGCGGCTGGAAATGGCGGCGCGGACCGGGATGCGGAGCCCGGGGCCACCCGCCGTCCCCCGGAGTCCCCTCCGCACGGCCGGGAGATGTCGGGAGCAGCGCCGGGATGGAGGCCGCGCGCCTGGACCCGCCTGGACCCGAGCCCCGCGGTGAGGCTGTGACGGCCGCCTGAGGACTGGGCCTGCAGGCCCGCGACACGCAGGGGGCCAGGGCCGCCTGGCCGCGTCAGTGCTGCCCACCGGCCTTCCTCTCTCTCGGGCAGCCCCTGCGGAACGGAGGTGACCCCAGAGGCACCCGGAGCTGAGACCAGAAGACACGCACGGTGCACGGCACGGGTGGACTTTATGAGCTGCGGATTCTGCACAAAGAGACTGTCCTGTCCTCCTTTGGCAGTCGGATTAGCAACTCTGAACACACACAGGAACAGAACATCAACGAAAACAAACCCACACAATAGTTTTTCAGATGCAAAATAATCAGGGTGACCCAGAGGAATAATAGTTGTTGACAGGGCTCAGGAAATGGCAGTTAAGCACAGATAGCAGGCTGGAAGAAGCTGACTTTGATTCAGTTCGTAAACAAAACAGCTAACATATAAATACAGTATAGTTTATAGCTTCAGCCTAATCATTAATGTAGTGTAATAGTGAGATTATCAAGGCATGGCAGTTTTACAGACCTTACAATACGTTATTGTATTGTAAGGAGAGAACGTTAAATGATCTCAAACACAGGTCAGATGTAAGCAGGACAGATGGATTGTCCTGTGCACCCAGTCTCTAAAGGGATGAATATTTCCTCCTCTAATCGCAGAAACATCCATCCTTAATACTTCTTCAATATGCAACTGTCAGGATTGGAGGCTAGGCAAATAATTACACTTTTATTTCTTATACATCTTTCTACTAGAGAATTTGTTGAAGTAAAAATGCTCGACAAAACTATAGGCCTTCCTGGGAGAGTTTTGGTTCTTTACAGTTATTAAACCGTAATTCAAAGCAGTGATTGCATGTATTTCATAAACCAGGGTGTAGAGCAGCTCTTTGGGGAGGCTGTGGGTTCACCAGAACCTTCTGTAACTACAAGTATCCGTGGTCACATTTTTCTTAACATGTCTGGCCCCAGTGGTTTCTTACTGCCTCAGTTTTCTTACCGATAAAAATGAAAGATACAAGCATGGTAGCACATACCTGTAATACCCACTACTCAAGCTATTACTGGGTTCTGAGGTGCTGGGGACTCTTAGAAATTGTTTCCAGGTTCTTGTCCTGAGCAAAGAATTGATCAAAATAAGCACAATAATGGTAGCGAGGTTTTACATGTGTAAAAATAGAAAAGAAAATTAAATTCTCTACCAATTAAAGGTAAGAAAAATACACCAGGCAAAGCACAGGGTGGGCAACTTGAAAGAGGTAACAGTGACACCCCAGCATTGTGGCCACCAGTCTTTTGTATTTCCTACCCCGCAGGCTGACAATCAGGTCTAGGCATGGTGTCAAAAACTTCTGGAAGCCAGGTGTGGTGGCATAATTCCAGCACTCAGGAGGCTGAGGCAGGAGAAGTTGCTGGGAGTTCAAGGTCAACCTGAGCTACATAGTGACTTCAAGTCCAGCCTGAACTGCATAGAGAAACCCTGTCTCGAAAAGACAAAAACAAAAACCTCCTTGGTTGCCCCCCTAATTTAAAAACTAAAGGAGTTAGTGGGACCCAGAATGTACAATGCACCCTGTGAAAGTGAAAGGGGAGGAACTGTCTAAAAAAGGAAGGCAGAGGACATTGCTAATAGTGTATCAGGATTTAAATCCACATTGTTCTTATTCTGTTTAGTTTGATTTTATTCTGTTCCAGTCTACTTGTACTAGATTTGAGGGCACAGACAGCTATTCCAAAAATAGCAGGATATACTACGGTAACCATCCTTAATTTCCTGTTAACTTAATCTGAAGCCCTGTATAACTTACAGTGTCTTATTATGACTGATCTTATTTGAATCTGGTTTATTAGATCACTGCTTTGTCTTGACTGATTTTATTCAAATCGGTTATGATTGATAGTATCAAGTCTGAGAATATAGGCAAATACTGGGAAGATGACAAGGATTCACTAGGATACCCACTCTGGTTTGATTACTACCTGCTTTTGAAGTCTTATAGTGTCTCCAATGTTTTGTTTTTATTAATATTGTTATGTACCGCTATATTCAGTTATACTATGCCTGATGATATAGACAATTCTATTGAAGATAACAAGAGACATAGTAACCATTGTAGATCACCTTCTATTGTGGTTTTATATGTCTTTTTCATTTCATGTTTTTCTAGGAATTGGTTTTGTTTTGTCTTGTTTTGTTTTGTTTTTCCCTCTAATACAGAAAGGATAGATATACATGTAGAGACTCATGCATGCATAGAACTTCTAAACAGTTTTTGAGAACTGATTGTATAATGCACAATGAAATGAACAACTACTTTGAAGAAAAAGAGACACTAAGGTACCTAGTGCTGATTCTGTAGCACCATGATGTGAAATCCAGCAATACTGTTATTATTTGTTCAGAGTGATTTTAGTCTGTTTTGTTTTATTTCAACATACATGAAACTATGCACAGCTATTTTGAAGAGAATAAGAGAGTATGACAGCTATTGTTGACTTCCTTATTGTCTGATTTTAAAGACCTAAAATGCCTTCATCATCCTGTTCTGATCAGTTTTATACTATGTTGTTTTGTATGAATTCACTGTGTGTGAAGCTATGGACAATTATTTGGAAGAAAACAAGAGACAATGTGATAGACAGTGAAGATCTCCAGTTGTCTTGCTTTGAAATCTGTGTCTCTTACATTGTTTTCTTATGTTCTGTTTTGTTCTTTTTTATGTTTAATTTTATGTTCTTTAAAATAAAATTTTTTAAAAAACAGAAAAAAACCTGCTTGAGGTCTCAAAAGAACTAAAGATAGCACTTTTGGGGCATGTGTCCTGGAATTCCATGATTGACAGATCTTGACCACTTGTAGGGCCAGTTGGCCATGCCTTCAGCTCCTCCTGCCTTGCTGGAGTAGGAAGATCACAAGTTTGAGGCCAGCCCAGGCAACTTAGCAAGATGCTGCCTCTAAATTAAAAAAAAAAAAAAAAAACTTTTTAATTCCTGGGGATGGAGCTCAGTCTTTCCTGGATTCAATACACAGTACCAAAAAACAATGAAAGAAAAAACCCAACAGCATCATTTGGTGCCTGGAAACTCCCAGGTCCACTAAATATGCAGATCTTGATAGAATAGCTGTTGAAGGAAGTTACCTTGGTTTGAGGTACCTTGATACAAAAGAAGGCGCCAAAGAGGTCACACCCATCTCAATTAGAGCTAGACTCCTACAGAGTGGTTCCCATTCTGTAAACTCTTCTTAGATTATCAGACTTACATTTATTTCTGAATATTATTTTTAAAAAATTTGTAACATCTTAATGAGTCTGTGGTGCCTTAAGGTAATAACTGTCTTAGATTAA